TGGATATCGAGAAATTAAATAAACAAAATCAGTCTTATACACGGCCTCTTATGGAGTTTTGATTAAATTGAACGTTTCAACCCCCTAGGAACTCAAGAAAAATTTGAAAAAATTTGAAGATATGGGGAATGATGTGTTCAATATGATGGCGACAAAAAACAATGGGGTACCGGGGTGAATAAGAGAGATATTTTAACCCGCCGTACCCATTTGATCTCATTCTTTCTCGAGGTTCGTCACGCGAAATAGAGGATTTTCCGCATTCATTTTCTCGATGTCTAGTTCCGGTTGCGGGTTTGAAATTTGGTCGGATTGATCAATACATATTTCTCCAATGATGGAGAGAAAGAAAAAATTTTTTTTGAATCTTTTTTCAAATTCACTTGGCACCCTTAAGTTTACGAGACGAGACAGATATCGGGACAAACATTTGAAAAACAGAAAATACTAAAACTCAGACTGATGGATTGTTCCAAGTTCGTGACGATATGCACCGATCCAATGTCCTTCGAGATTACGTCGATTCCTAAACTTTCGATTTTTTTTAGACCGCGATGATCTTTCCAAAATAATTCTCGTCTAGCCTCGACGGCATCACTATCAATGTATTATTTAAAGAACGGTTGAGTCTACACAGATCAGACCTGAATTGGACTCCGACGCGTACAAAAGTCGTAAACTGTATCTAATCAGTCAGATAACACAGTAATTATAATCAACTAATAAATTCTCACATTTAAATGCCGATAAACCATTGGTAGGATTTATTCCTTCAAGCCTAGAACCTACTATAATTATAAATACCCCCCACGCTGGGTACAACTAGATTTCCATATTGATTGTGACCTGTACATCGACCTTACTCTTCCTGCCCCCTCCAAATATACTTCCAATTCTGCCAAGATCACCAACTTCATAAAGTTGATCAAATTTGTTGACAAGCCTATGAAAACTATTCAGAGCAGAAGTTGCAGTCTCCGCATGGGCATCAGACCCCCTATACTTATGATCATCCTGATTCAGAGTGACTCCTTGCTGAATGATGATGACATCAGGAGTTTGATGCTCTTCTCTAGGAGTACTCAAACCAGTCATCTCCAGGACAAGAGGACTCTCGCTCATTTGATAGTTCTCCTCAGGTCTAGAAGTACTCAAACGAGTCGTGTCCGGAGCAAGAGAAGTCTCACTCATATGATAATTGTCAACATCGGGTGCTTCAACACTGCCCATCCAAAAGAGTTCCTCAACCTGACCCGCCTCATAATTCCCATCGAGTTGATCATCACCAATGACGACGGCTTGACTAACCATCTGTCCTCCGGTTGAAATCACCTGCATCTTTCCTTCGTCATCCTTCACCTGCAAGACACCATTCATTTCGCTTGTCTGGAGACTTGATCCTGAAGAGCCCTCGGCAACTGCAAGGACCTTATCAACTTGATTGCTTTGGTAAGTGGCTTGCACGTCACCATTATCGAAAAGTCCGTGAACCGCATCGATTTCATTGACCCCCACGGCAACCCCTCGTTCTCCGTCGTCAAGCATCACAGATTTGCCAGCCTGGTTGATCTTATGGACATCATCGATGCCGTCAGGAGTAGAAGTACCAAACAACTCATCAGCGTTATTCAGATCAAAGTTGGCTGTGAGCAGCCCATCGGTGATGGTGAGCGAATGATCTGTTCCGTTCCCTTCATAGGCTCCAACAGTGCCGTCTTGATCTTTGAATCCAAAAATATCATTCATGTCTTTGGTGCTCAACGAGACTCCGATGTCTCCGTCTTTCAAATTGATGTTATGCGCAGTGTCGTCGATTAACAGAACATCTTTGTTTCCTTTGTCATCGATTGAATTATAGAGTCCGTTCGTCTTGTCGACGCCGACCGACGCCTGAACGCCATTATTATTAATTCTAATCGTGTTCTGAGTGCCATCCAGAGCAAGAGTTTCGGTAACTTTGTCCGTATAACCGAAACCTGTAAGACTGGACTGTTTGGTGTCTTTCTCAACGCCTTGCTCGTCCCGGACAAGATTATGTTGGTCGATGTTATTGAGTTGGTAGAATGATTCAACATCGTCGGGTGTGCCTGCAAGGTTGTATGTTAAGTCAATATAGGAGAACCCAACCCGACATCTATATTTTGTCATTGTTTTTATGACAAAGAATATTGTGCGTCACACGGCCGAAATAATACATTTCAGGGCGAGTGCCATAGGGGCTTTTACTCGCTTGGGGTTGGCGTCCGAGTCGAAAGCGAGGACTGGCCAACCACGCGAGGAAAAAAACCCCATGGGACTAGTCGGGAACGATATTTTTCCGTAGTGGTTTTCACTTTTACGAGCTTGGAGAAGGGCCAATACCAATCCCGGACGAGGAAAAGTGTTATTCGATTGTATGAGCTAGAAAAGTCTTGGCAAGGGTCAAAGAACACTTTTCTCTTGAGTATCGATCTCTATTTTTCATCACGACCTTACGCACACGTGGTGAAAAGTGAATTTCGAGAGCGTAAAACAACCGCTTTACGTAGACTGAACCTTTTCGAAAAGTGCACGTTTCAGGCAGGTATACCAAATAGTAGGGGAGGGTAGGGCGAAATAGATCAGGCGGGCAAAATGGACCCCTAGAGCAAAATGAACTCCCTTATTTTTTCATTTATGAAATTCTTCGAAATTTTAGTGAACCTGTTTCTTCGCGATAGTACCGGAGAGTGGATTCAGTGTCAGATATGCCTAAGATGGATTTATTATGTTTGTGGATTAATCCAGACGATGTTAAATTCGAGTGTGACGCTTACGCATAATGCTTAACATAAAAGAATTTGTTATATGAAAATGCGTGCAATTATTGACTTGTTAATTTGATTACTATGTTATTTTTACGTACTTTTTAGATGAAAAAAATCTTGCTGCGAGTTTGCAAAGACGAAAATATGCTTTCCCCAATTTCTGAAATTTCCATTCAACGGAATTACTATGGAAATTACAATTGTTCCTAATCACACTTCTGTTGATTCTCATTGTTTTCCACAGTATTTATCGTATTTATTTCCACAATAAATGACAAATAATTGATAAAATTATTATGAAAGAAAACGCTCAATTTTTTGCAGGGGTCCATTTTGCCCTCCCCTCCCCAACTATTGCTTATCTCCAGACATTATTTTCCACTGCTCCTGCTTAAGCTCACTTTTTTGTTCATAATCTCTATTGTACTTTGTTTAACTTTCTAAACAATAAACTCCATATCTTACTATCTTATCTTATCTCCCCTATATTATCGCACGTCTGTAAATCAACAACTTGGAACAGAACCTGTATAAAGTACCGGTTTCCAAGCTGGCGTACGACAAATCCCATTTTACAGGTGAAAAAAAAATGCCACTCTATACTAACGGAACCCTAGCTGGTGGCAAGCAACGGAAGCAATCACTTCCTAGTTGCAGATGATTCTGGCTAATTACTCACCTGCCATATACACCAGATCCGTTTCACTCTTCCCATTCACCTCGAGCCCATCTTTATTTTCAACTTGGTGAAGGCCATGGTCCTCAGCTACGAAGAAAGTGTGATCGACGCCATCAGGATTCGATATCTGTTCTCCGGTATTGGATTTGCTCGTCCCGACCATCTCCCTTTCTCCCTGAGGATTATCCACTGCGAAGACTGTCTCCGTCTCATCTTTCACGTAGACGTCGTTTACACCGCCCTGGCCTTGGCCTTGAGCGTAGTCATGAACTTGGTTGACCTGGGTCACTGCCCGTTCGTCAGCATGTTTAAACCCGTAGGTTTGATTGACTTCGTCGATGACTTCATTAGCTGATGGAGATGTCTTTGAGGTGAAGCTCTGATCGATTTGGTTCATGATTTCGCTGTCGCCGGCGGTCAGGACAGTCTTGTCACTGTTGGAGACGGTATGGGTCTGTTCAACCTCTGGGCGAGCGGTAGACATTGCGTGTAGCAAGAGAGGAGAACTGTTTCCATCAGTGCTGACGCGTTGGTGACTGGCTGATGGGTTGCTGGGTGCTAAATCATTTTGGCGAATCACTGCCGCTGATGAGAGCTGCACTGCAACGATTGCCAATGTGGCGCTCAAGATCGGTAAGTACATCTTCACAAAGGTTCGGAGAAAAACAGACTTTTTAGGGACTTGGGTGAAACTCGAGGTACAACGGCGACAATTTGCTATTGACGTCCACTGTTGATAGCAAGTGAATGTGAATTAGTCACCTAATTCGTACCCACTGGTTATTTCTGTTATCATAATTGTTCGCGGGGTTCAAACGGGTATTGGAAGTGCTGCGCAATTGTAGAAATGTTCTGTTTCTGAAGAATTCTAGGTAAACATAGCGAGAGTTCTATTTATGTACACCCGGAGTAAAAAATGTCTAAATGAAAACGATGAAAAGATGAAACTTCTTCAGGTGACACTCCTGCACTCGGACCTCATTAGACAAATATGAATATTGTTGAGAAAACGTTCACATAAAATGTAAAAAACTATTTATTTCATCTTTTATTTGCGTTTAGTCTAGTAAAATCGATATGGACAATTTAAATTAATTTGAACTCCCCTAGAAGAATTGTATTCCAGAAATATCAAAAAGGTTTTTCATACTTCGTATTTTTCCATTTTCATGTCCACTTGACTCTAAATTTCAATGTTTCAAAATTATATTCATTAAACAGAAGTATTTTTGTCTTTACATAGTTAATTCAACAATCAACAGTGACTAGATTAGGTAGTTTACATAAATGTGTCTGTTTCAGAAAAGGAACCACAGTTCGATACATCTCGTACGTTAATCTACACTGATATTCGTATTCAACGAATTAATATTGTGAAGAAATTATTTACTAGTCTACTGTCTGCATATCCCTTATCAATTGATTCGATGTGTCTAGTTTATTGTCTAGATTTAATTTGAGAAGTAGAAGTTGAGGGTCCACGATCTCCCACATATCCACGGTAGAAATTACCTTCAATCCACGGGAAAACGTCCCGTATACCCACGGTCAAAGTTACTGTGGAGCGTGTAAATACACTGCTTTCCTGAAATTGAATCATCCATTCTGCCCTGTCCTTCCGTCAACTCCTAATTTAAGACATTCTCCTTCTCCCGTCAATTTCAACATGAAACAATTGACATCACTATATTACTCATTCAAATGGATTTTTATTCATTAATATCGAAGCATTACACATTTTTATAATTGTTATTATGTTTATAGACAGTCTCTAAACAATACTTTCTCCCCCCGTAAATTTAATGATTAAATCCAGAATCCACGTCGATCGTTCTTTGATAACAAACCCTCCAGAATTTTGTACCTTCACCGTCGCCAATTTCCGAGCCCTCTTGACATACCCCGCTACCTCGCCATCCACCACCCACTGCTTGACAGTGGCACGCCTGAGGTCATTCTTTCCACCCCAATTCAGATTCATCAAAGACCTTTCAAAGTCAATAGCAGGCGCCACCGCATCCAGCTCCCCATTAACAATCAGAATCCTGTAATTCTCCAGAAGAATAGCGAAGACATTCCCGAGTGAACGCGTCATGTCCACCTTCAAGAACTCTTTCACCCTATCTGAATTCACAACGAAGGTTCTGTTACCAACATGAATCGCATGTTTCACCTCCTGATCCTCCATAAATTGGGAGAGAACTTCTGAATGATTCGTTTCCGAATTTTTTTCTGTTTTCTCAGGAGTAAGTAACGGAGGAAGATCAGCGATGAATTTGGTGGTCTCACTGACCATTGAAAACACGTCATTCAAATCGATTGAATTCGGTTTATCAATGAAACCTTTCATTTTTCTCTCGTACTTCAAGAATTGCGTTATAGTTTTGAAATCGAGGAAGTTGTTGGGTTGAAAGACGTGAGACGGCGGAGGTTCTACAGCCTTCGCGGATTTATCCACCGGATCCAGGGCACCGCTGAAGATAGCGAGACCCTGAAGGTTCATCGGATTATCTACGGCAGGGTTCAATGCGTGAATGGCGTATCCCAAAGCCGTCGCGAATTTTCCACCGAAGGATTCTCCAGCGATGTACAAATCGTTGGTTCTGAGCTCAGGGAATAGCTGGAAGAACTGCACTAGGGCTTGGTAAAGGTACAGGCCTACCGATAATTGATTGTCTGCGTAGCCATCATCATGATCGGTGAAGCTGTAGCCGGTTCCCATGGGGCTGTCTATGTAGAGCATGTTCAGGGGGCCAGCCCAGGAATCTTCCCGGTTTTCGAGGGTTTGGCCCTTCGTGATGCGGAAGGGACCGTTCTCAGAGAAGAGACCCAGGAGGGAACTCTCGCCTGGACCTCCTTGGAGCCAGATGACAATTGGAGCGGTTTTCGAAATCATCTAGAATTTTTTTTTATGTGAGGTATTCCATGTGGAATGAGTCAACGGCCGACGCTCATCCTTTTGGAAATTGATCTCGATTTTTTCTATGATTGAGGGGCTAGAAAAACCGTTTCTCAATTTTTTTCAGATTTTTTCGACAGGTCATTTAGGACATATGATTTTTTTTTTTCGTTTTTTTCAATAACTCGGGTTCTATTCAGCCGATTTTTATTTATGATGACCCAAAATTTTCCATTTTCTACCATCTATAAGACGATTTTGGGTGATTTTTTTTTCAATCTCTAGGTGCTCATAATATCGAATTAAAAAAAAATTGAAAAACTTGAATTTTCAAAATTGTCACCTGTTATTTTTCTCATATTTTTTCAGTAACTCTTATAATCAAAATAAGTATTTTGAGCCGTCCTACAACTTGGATTTCGTCCGGGTTCTATTTTATTTTCATTTGGTTCTTCTCTAAATTCCGCGAATCCGGTCAGAACACCCCAAAGCGACTACGTTTATGCATCCAAAAAATATGTATTAGCTATGCATTCATACAAGTATACATTTAAATTCACTTCATACTGTTTATAATCAAAGTCAATCAACACCATTTTGGGATATTTGACCGAATCCGTGGAATTTCTGGAAGAAAAAATTGAAAATAAAATGGATCTTGTTTTGCTGGTATGGAAAATTTTACTAAACAGGAGGATAATTTTTGCATCCATAGATGGATTTTTTTACCGAGAAAATCGTAAGATATTCATTAAAAACCGGTATTTTCACGGAATTACAGTTCGCTCCACGATCTCCCATTCGTATAGTAAAATTTGTCACGATTTTCGAAGTAATTTTTATCCGATTTTTCTGTCCGTGTAGAAATAAAATTGTCAAAGTACTTTGATATCCTTAACTCGTGATTTAATTAGGAGTTAAATTAACTTTAACCGAGGTCTACACGTATAAAAAAATCGTATAGAAATTTTCTATACGGATTGCGTATAGAATTTCCATAGGATTTTCGTATATGATATTCGGATATTTCTATACGGATATGTTTATACAAATTATTTCTATCGATTTCTATAGGTTTGATCCTATACGACCCACTGCCACATGTATAGAAACATTTCGTATGAAATTTCGACATTTCTCAACGTCTTTCTCTGGAGCGTCTAGACATCGTTCGTATGAAAACAAAAATTTATGTAAAAATTTATGTATAGAAATAATTCGTATAGAAATATTCGAATATCATATACGAAAATCCCATTGAATTTCTATACGCAATCCGTACAGAAAATTTCTATACGACTTTTTTCATACGTGTAACCGTGGTTAACTAAACCAAAAACTGGCCCTCAGAATTTCACCCCCTTCCATTCCTCCCGAGATCAAACAGGAGTTTTGGGATGCCCTGTATACATATCTATTGGCTATTTACCTGTGCAGGGAAAAACCAGAAGAACAAATTGGAATTGTACTCCTTATTGACAGTGAAGAATCCACTGTAGCTGACCAAATCCCTGAGCCCTTCATGTTCGACAATCGATTTTCTCCTTGCCTCATCAATACTCCCACTCTCGATCAGCGGCGTTAAGAAAAGGGGATGAAGATCATTCTCCCCTTCAACCTTTTCATAATCACGTCCAGACGTGATGTCGAGATTGTATCCACTGTAATAGACAGTGGCAATGATGGACGAAAGGACAAGGCTCGTGAGGACGGTGAAACCCATTTTTGAAACAATACACAACTGACGGTTTTGTTTAACGCCTCTGAGCTTCGTATTTCGCGAGGATACCGCCCGCGAATTGATAAGGCATTGTCAACTTATCGAGGAATTGCCTCGGCAGTGAAACATCGCCTTATGCTTAGTCAACGTTCCATTACACGGGACATAAAAATGAATAAATAAATATGAGAGAGATTATCAGGGCTGACTTGGAGTAAAAAATTAGCTTAAAAATTCAAAATGAAGCGAAAGAAAAATTAGGTTTTTTCACTTCGCATAAAAATTGAAGGCTGTAGGCAAGACGAAAGTCTGAAAATAATGTAAAAATTGAGAAACATCGTTTTAATCAGTGTTTTATTACTCCCAAATATTCTCTAATACAAAATCTCGTTGATAATAACAGCTCTTGGGGCGTCAAAAATATTTTTACATCACTGGAATTGAGGTATAGTTATTGCATTATGAAGTTGAAGAAATTAATTTTAATAATCAAAATGTCATGTTCGTAGAGAGCATTATACGTATGGAACATACATTGAAGGAGTCCAATGCTTTCGTTAAATAATTCAATTGTAATTCTATGCTTTTTGTCAATTTCTATTGACAATTTCACAGACTTTTCGGGCGACTTCTCAACAGAACATTCTATAGATAAAGATAATTGATTACTTTACATATGATTTTTTCCCTTTAGATGTTCTAGATTTTCTAAGCATAAATTTGTTTTAAATGCAGGAAAATAAACTTGGGCAATTCATGCGCAAGAGTTCCCACAGAAAAAATCATATGGCGAAATTGTATAAAATTGGATAATTCCCAATACGAATACAATTTTTTTCTATCACAAAAATGTATTAGGGCTTCCTTTGAATTCTTCCATAAGTGCATTCAAGCTTCGAATTACTGAAACTTCAGCTTCACTACATTTCACAAAAATCAAAGTTTTTACTCGATATTGTGTTGGCGGAGTCCAAGTTCGAAGTAAATTCACTAGTAAATTTGCAAGTATCTTCGCTCACAATTCAGGTTTTTTTCATTTTCCGGCAAATTATTGATCCGATTGCCGTGAAATAATATACCCTTCTTGCGTTTTATCATTATTGACTGCCTCACGAAGTTTCATGGTAGTGCAATTATTTTCCTGCATTTTTTTTCTAAAGTTTCGTGAATTTCCGAAAAGTTTTAGCAAAAACGCAGGAAAAAGATTCCACGATCATGAAATTTCATGAGCCATTAAGTAATGGTAAAACGCAAAAACGCTATATTTTTTCACGTCAATCCGATCATCAATTTAACAGAAAAATTGAAAAAACTTGAATTTTGGCAAAAAGGGTGTAATACATCCTTAGGATTTCACGAAATTTTCCCAAACCTACTAAATTTTTCGATATTTGCAAAATTATCAGTATCTCCCAGGCTCCCCTCAGAATTACCAACAGAAATACCCCAAAAACATCAGAATGTCCACCGCAAAAATTCAAGTATTAAAGTATTCAAGTAATTCCTGAGAATCTCCCTGAGAACAAAATCGCGAAATGCAGAAACTAACAGCTGAAGAATCAAACTGATTGAGAATAACGCCGGTAATTAATTTGGAATGCTCCCACACCTGTTGAAACCCCCAAAAAATTTGACCCCTACAACTTCTTTCCCTTCGTAAACCTCGTGATTAAATCCCACGCCCACTTGGGTTGATCGCCAGGCACCATATGCCCAGCATTTCTCACAAGAACCTCAATCAGATTCCCCGCAGTCTTGACATAGCCAGCGATCTCCCCATCGACGATCCACTTCCTCCTCGCCGCCTTCTTGTAGTCCTCGGCCCCAATCCACTTGAGATTCATCAGGTAGTTCTCAGTCAGTGGATAAGCGACAATGATATCCAGCTGTCCATTATAAATCATCACACGATAGTACTTCGCGAGAATAGCAACTTTATCAGCCTCCGACCTAGTGATGTCATTCTTCAGATGATTCTCGACCTCGCTGGCCTCGAAATGAAAGCTGCAGTTGCCCACGTGAATAGCTTTCCTGACGTCCGCCCTCTGGATCCACTCCCCCATCCAGTCAGCCTCCTCAGTGTCCTTAGTCCTAAGATAATTGAAATAGAAATTGAAACCAGTCAAATTCTGGAAAAGACTGGGGACTGCGTTCAGGTCGCCATCGATCAACTGATTAAATACTTCAAAGGCTTCATCATATTTGCCCTGATTGATAAAGTCAACGCCTCGTTTTTGATATGTGTGGAACTGCTCTAGTCCATTGAAATCAATGAGGCCGAGCTGATAAAGGTAATCTCCGTAGTTCAGCTGGTGGATCGGGTCGGTCAATCCATTCCCAATAGCTAGACCTGAAAACAACGATACGGGAGATTCTCTTGAGACAGAATTCTTTTGATGATGAATAAATACATTTAATTTGTTGAAAAATATAAATTATTGACAAAATATTTCTCTATATTATAAAAATCCCAAACGACTGCTGGTGATAAAAATTTGGTACTCGATATTAAAACTTCGTAATTAAGGGTCACAAGGGTCAAAATAATGGTCATGAACGTCAGAATAAGGGTCACGAGGTGACCCTTATTCTATATACCACTTACGAGGTCAGATTAAAGGTCATAAGGGTCACGAGGGTCAGATTGAGGGTCATGAAGGTTAGAATGAGGATCACAAGGTTCAGAATAAGGATTATGGGGGTTATATGTGGGTCATATGGGAGTTGGCGAACGGAGCCAGCAAGGGGCGTAGCCCTCTAGACATATTATAAAAATTCAAATCGACTTCTGGTAATAAAAATTTGGTACTCGAAATTAAGACTCCGTCAGCAGAGGTCACAAGGGTCAAAATAAGGGTCACGAGGTTCAGAATCAAGGTCATGAGGACCGAATTAAGGGTCATAAGGGTCAAAAATTTCCCATAGTCATTGATAATTTACATTAGATTTTAATTAGATTAAAATCAACTTAAATGACAGAATCGTAGCGATGTATACCCTAAGGATAATAATTGACAGTTAATTATATATCAAATAAATAAATGAAGATGTCTGGAATTATCTGTCAGACTGAAATTAATATCAATTTGAGGAGGGAATTAATTCCGGGAGAATTGATTCATCAAAGAAATCGGCTTGAATGAAAATGAAATCATTACAAACCCTTGAAGTTGATCTTCACCGGGGAAGTCGGCTTTTTCGTGTGAATAGCATACGACACTGCTGGCACGTACTTCCCAGCGTAGGATTCACCGGTGACGAAGAAGTCGTTGGCCTGGAGCTGTGGGAAAAGTTGGAAAAATTGGACCAAGGCTGTGTGTAAATTGTCTCCAACTTGAGTCTCGTTGTTGGCGTAACCTTCGGGGTGCTCGGTAAAACTGTAGCCGGTGCCCACTGGATTGTCTATGTACAGGAGATTATGGTTCGTGCTCCACGCGTATTTTCGCATAGCGAGGGTCTTGTTCTTGGTCACCATGAACGGGCCGTTCTCAGTGAAGAGACCGTAGAGGGAAGTTGCTCCCGGACCCCCTTGCAGCCAAAGGACTACTGGGGCGGTTTTCGGATTCATCTGGAATTCATTGAAAACGGCTCTATTGAATCCAATTCAGAGTTCAGGGAGGACAGGGGAGATAACACACATTCGGAACAAACGTCCAGAGAGATCCAAAGATAGATTTATTCTCTTCTGTAGAGAATAATTGCGGTGAAAAGTCCTCTGAGTTGAGTAGGTGTGGAATCGTATATTCAGATACTAGTGTGTAAGTCTTTTTCTGTCACGCTGTGCAATAAGTCGAGTCTGTCGTACGCTACGACTGCTGCACGGTGACATAAAATATTATAGATCACTCGGGCATAAACTTCGTTTTCGTTTGACCTTCTTGACCCTTGCAACCTTGGTGTCCACCTCAGACCCTTATGGCCCTTATAACCCTAAAGGCCCCAAGAGTCCACAGGGACACGAAGTTCCCCTCCGTTATTGTATAATGAAATAAGGGATTTTGACCGTTGTAACATTGGTGTCCACCTCAGAACCTTATGGCCCTTATGACCCTAAAGGCTGTAAGGGGCTTAAAGGTCCGCATCGTTACCCCTTGTTGTAACGTCAAATACTTGTAATAAAATAAGGGATTTTGACCCTCTTGACCCTTGTAACCTTGGTGTCCACCTCAGACCCTTATGGCCCTTATGACCCTAAAGACCCCAAGGGTCCACAGGGGCACAAAGGTCCCCTCCGTTACCCCTTCTTGTAACATCAAATAGACTTATAATCAAATAAGGGATTTTGACCCTCTTGGCCTTTGTAACATTGGTGTTCACATTCGTCGAAAACTAAATTTGTGCCCTTGTATTCTAATGTACTATAAGTAATTAATTCTAAATATCTGAATTTGAGTTTTCGATTGATCAAATAATCATCATGCTTGCGAATTAGATTACTGATTTATAAAATAGTTGAAAAATAAAAAAATTTGATTTATGATTAATTTAATATTTGAAACATTGGACAAGACAGTTATGTAATATTGTACGTAATAAAATAATGTTAATTCTCCATTACGATTTTGCCTATCTCTGCGGCGTACAGTGGATTCTCATGTAATGAGTAAAGCTTCGCATAAGCGACTTCGGTCAGTAAATACTGGAATATTCTTCTCAATTCACTGAAGATAAAAAAATCTGAAGAACATTCAACGTTTGCCGTCCTTACATAATGTACTCAAGGAAATAAGAAAGAAGACGGCAGAAAGAAAACAAATTATTTTATTAATCGAGTCACGAAGTGATGAAACGAGATAATTTGAAAAACTCTGCTATTAGATTGTGAATATCTTTGGATTGAAGAGGTTTACGATGTTTTATGAAAAGACTTTGTTTGAAACGCAACTAAAATTCCAGAACATTCTGGTCGACCATCGGCCTACTGCGAAAATCTCCGGGACCCTTCGGGTCATCAGTCATAAGTCACCGAAACACGCGCGAATCAGTTTAGGCTTAGCCTCTCACCGTACAAGTCTATCTCGGGCAAATCACCTGTACAAGTTTTATATCGCACCTCACCGAGTACAGTAGCTCTTTGAACTTCACCTAGCTCACTAGTAATCAAGTACATCACCGGTCTTTGTAAGATCACCGTTTTGTTCAGTACATCACCTCTGTTGATTAAATTCAGTCTAAATTCAGTGACTCAACGAATTAACAGTGAAAGACAATTATCAGTGTAATTAGACATTCAACAATTAAAATATCCAAAGAGTGTAAATAGTTTTGGCAAAGTGGTTCGATCCCACAAAATAAAGTGTGGTTTTTAAATCCGGCTCATCAGTAATTTTCTCAACAACTCCCTCCACATTTTCATCCCACATCCACCCTAAATCTAGTCATTCACCAAACAGACTTTTTATGTAGGCTATTTCAAACTCTACAAAAACATTCTTTTAATGAATTATCGTTAGATCCTTCACTCCGAAGATATTCGCAAAATAATGTTTGCATAAATTGCACGTGCGCTCGTTTCACTTGTTCGTATTTAAGGGTGCCAAGTGAATTTGAAAAAAGATTCAAAAAATTTTTTTTCTTTCCCTCCATCATTGGAGAAATATGTATTCATCCATCCGACGAAATTTCCAACCCGCAACCGGAACTAGACATCGAGAAAATAAATGCGGTAAATCCTCTATTTCGCGTGACGAACCTCGAGAAAGCATGGGATCAAATGGGTACGGCGGCTTGAAATATCTCTCTTATTCACCCCGGTACCCCATTGTTTTTTGTCGCCATCACATTGAACACATCATTCCCCATATCTTCAAATTTTTTCAAATTTTTCTTGAGTTCCTAGGGGGTTGAAACGTTCAATTTAATCAAAACTCCATAAGAGACCGTGTATAAGACTGATTTTGTTTATTTAATTTCTCGATATCCATAAGTTCTAAAATTTTTAAATTGTCACCGATGTTCACTATCTGTCTAATACTATTAATTAAAAAAATTATAACTTTGTTGGTGAATGTCAATTTTCAAGGTCATCGCCAAATTCACTTGGCACCCTTAAACCTCTTTTTGTAAATAAAAAATGTGCAATTGATTTTCGTAAATTCATTACCTCAGCCGGGAAGAACCAGAAGAACATATTGGAATTGTATTTCTTATCAACAGTCAAATATCCAGAATAACTTGAAACATCGTTCATCTCTTTATGCTGAACACTAGCGATTTTTCTCGCCTCATCAATTTTCCCACTTTCAATGTAAGGTGTGAGGAACAACGGATTTCCAACATCTTCATCACCTCTCAAAGGATGACTCTTCAGCTTTGGATAGACATTTGTAAACGCCCGAGTATTTTCCACCGTGAAAAGTATCAAAAAGACGCCGGAAAAGGCACTGAATTTAAACTCCATAATTGGAATCCTCGGAATTCCTCGAATGTCTTGTGTAAACGAAGTCTAAAACGCAAGTAGTCGATTGTTATGTATCAGAAATGCGCATTAACCGACGCGGTTTACAAACTTCCGCGATGACTATTTATATCGGGTAACAATAAGCAGATACTTGTCTAGATTACGCCCATTCGGAGCGAGAGTGTCATGTATACAACGTGAATTCTAATTTTGAGCGTTTTTCTTTGCTTTGTCAGCGTGTCACAGCGTCAGCTGTTGCATGAAAAATGACCTACTGGCATTCGGTAAGAGTGGAATCGGTCATTTTGTGCGGGAAATTGTTTCGTTCGTGTTTTGTATTTGACCGATTTTTCGATTTTCTAATTTTAATTGCAAATGGTCTGGTGGATGTTTATAGCGTCATGTCTGTGTATGCGACAATTTGGGTCTTTGGTGATTAATTTTTAGAAAATCCAACATAATTATGGCAAAAGTTGTAGATAAAAATCTAAAATTTCAACTCATTACAGCTGTGCACTGAGAAAAAAATATAATTTTACCAATCATATTTGTTTCGGACAGCCAAATGCCCAAAATTACCATACGAATACTCGCTTTAAATTCTTGTCGGAAGAATATTTGATTGGCAGAATTATATTTTTTTCTCAGTGTGATTGAGCTCAACTTTGGCGCGCTGTTTGAGCCCGGTCGGTCCAATAGTTCTTGAGATATAATAACGTGTTTAAATTTCGTTTTTCCACAATAGCTTAAAAACTACTATACCAATTTCAATTTTTTTTCAAAATACTCGTCTCGATGAGGGATTTTATCAGGATCAATAAATAAAAATATTTATCCCCATTCATCCAAAATTTTCAAGATATTGCCATCGTTTCGTTTGTAAAATTTATTTTTGAATTAAATTTCAATTTGGTTTTTAATTAATTTTCATTATTGTACAAGGATAGGGAATCGCTAATAATAAATAAAAGAAAGAGACTAATCACGCAAAAAGTAAAATAAATCGTTCGTGGACAACATAATATTATCCAGAATGAATATTCCTTTTCCTTCATTTCTCTCAGCCAAAAACGATCAAAAAAGCGGCATTAATTCAAAAACTTTCGTTGAAGAAACTACACATCATGTTGTTTAACTTTGCCAACGTTTCGAAGTCACAAGGAAAAGTCACTCTTCATCCGGGCAATATTTATTCTAAACGTTTATAAGATGTAAAGGACCAGAAGAGTTCTGTCGTTGAAAACATTCCCATTTTAGTAAATGAATATTGTAATTCGTGCAGAAACAACTGCACTTCGAGAGGAAAACAATGAAAATGGACTCGATGCCTTTGAATATTTATTCGTTCGAAATTATGCCGCAGCGGTGTTCCAAATTAGGCAATTTGCGTCCAATTCGAAAGTTGCTATCACGGCGGTATTCATAACATTTCTCTCTTTCCCGCGTAAAAATCGAAATGAACCACCAGATGGCCCACCGTCCCGTTACCTTTGAATTTGACAGTTGCAAACGCCGATACTTCTCACGCTTTATTTACTGTAACGCAACAAGTGCCTTTGAATACCTGCAATCACCAAACAATTCCCATTATCCAAATCCTCTTAATCAAATCTAAAGAATAGCGATAGAATTCTCAAAATCTGAATCGTTCCATCAGCATCAGCACAAACTTCAATCATCTCAACATATCCAGGTAAATAAAAACATAAACATTGGCATTATTTTCACTCAACTTCACTGAAGCATGGAAATCCCAAAACCCTTGAATTTCCATTCTCAAAATTCATTTCGACTCCATCGATAATCGAAAATCAATTGATTTCAATACCAAACAACCCATTTAGAGGTTAAACACCTCATTATCCAGCCCACCCACTCGATGACTTGTCCCTGACCATCCCACAACAATAAACATTCCCCCCTCGGTTTAATGAGCATAACTTACTCATGTGTTGGAGACAAATTTTCTAATGGAGAACAATTATATTGAATAACCAGCTGTGCGGCCCGGTGTTGTCGGACAGAATATAGTCAAAACTGAAATCCAGTTTTTTCTCTTGCTTGCGAATGGAACACGCACGAAAAAATTTAATAGAAAAACCTATCGAATTCGTTAGAAAATTCTATTGAATTTCTGTTAAACTTGCTATTAGTTTTTGGCTGATTCTATTGACATGTTCTATAGAAAACACAATAGAAAAAGTCAACAGAATTCGATTTTTCTATATAACTTATTCTTTTCATATATTTTCTATAGAATTTGCTCGACTCAAATTTTCTAAGTTTTTTTCATTCTATTTTTCTTTTCTTCTCATCAAGAAAATCAAACGAAAAGACTAAAAATAGAAAGACGTATCGAATTCGTGAGAAAATTCTATTCAATTTCTATTGAACTGTTCTCTTAGTTTTTGGCCGATTCTATTGAAATGTTCAATAGAAAATATTCAGTAGAAAAAGTCAATAGAATTCAATTTTTCTATATAACTTATTCTATTGAGATATTTTCTATAGAATTTCCTCGGCTCAAATTTTCTAAGTTTTTTCGTTTGATTTTCTTGATGAGAAGAAAAGAAAAATAGAATGAAAAAAACTTAGAAAATTTGAGTCGAGCAAATTCTATAGAAAATATATGGAAAGAATAATTTGTATAGGAAAATCAAATTCTGTTGACTTTTTCTATTAAATGTTTTCTACTGAACATATCAATAGAATCAGCCAAAAACTAATAGAAAATTTAATAGAAATTCAATAGAATTTTGTAACGAATTCGATAGGTTTTTCTATTTAATTTTTTCGTGCATGATAGCTTTTACGATGTCTACTGGCTTCCACTTGTCGGCAGGTACATCTACAAAATTCATTTCTGATGTTAAAGATGTNTCGATAAGTTTTTCTATTAAATTTTTTCGTGCGTGATTCTAGACTATTTGCAGTCAAAATTAGAAAATCGAAAAAACGTTTAAATGCTATCTTTCCATTCGGCAACAAAACCAACCAAGATCCCATTCGAAAGATAATACACGCGAGCCTTGAACCATTTTACCGCTTCGCCACACATATGAAAAAATCGTATAGAAATTTTCTGTACGGATTGCGTATAGAAATTCTATAGATTTCCGTGCACGATATTCGGATATTTCTATACGAATTATTTCTATACATAAGTTTTCACATAAATTGTTGTTTTCATACGAAAGATTTCTAAACGTTGCAGAGAAAAACATGGAGAAATGTCGCAACTGCATGCGAAATGTTTCTATATATGTGGCAGTGGGTCGTATAGGATCATATCTATAGAAATCGTATAGAAATATCCGAATATCATGCATAAAAATCCTATAGAAATTCTATGCGCAATCCGTATAGAAAATTTCTATACGATTTTTTCATACGTGCACTGAAACCATTTCATGAATATTATGACAATGTTCATAGTCCAACACATACTCACACCCTCCACCTTGCCTCCTTCCAGCTCCCCTTAGGTCACAGCCCAGAAGATGAATGACTCATTCCTAGAAGATCTAGGACTAGTGGAACAGAAAGCAGGATCTGCGGTTCGCGATGCAGAACGATACATAACAACTCGTCGTTCGGAGTCGCCCAAAGTTGATTTCTGCATTGACTTTGAGCGAGAGATCATGCGAAAGCAGGGGAAGCTCTCGGGTTCCCCAGGGATTCCAAAGAAGCCCCTAGAACCTGCAGAGCCAAAACACCAGTCTCCCAGATCGACAGACCCCCAACAGTCCCCCGGGAAACGTCTGAGTGATCCGAAGCCTAAGAAACCCATGAAAGAAGTGAAAATCATAACACCTCCGTCGAAACCAAAGAATTCTGAGAAAAAAGTGAAAAATGTGGAGGCAAAGTTGAAACAAGTGGAAAATCTCGATAAATTGGAAGACCTGAAGACGATTCAGGGGTTCAAATCACGGGGTAAGCATCTGGGTGGGTCCAGGGAGAGCAGCAGACTGTCTGATGGGTCCTCCAAGGAGAATAGTCGACCCTCTGATTCCTCTGGAGACAGTGTCCAGACTGAAATCCTCAAGGAACGTCGCAGAGGGCCCGACACTATTGCGAAAAAATCAGAGCCTGTTGATAACGCATCGTTGACGATGCTCAATGCTATCAAGGAGATTGTCAGCACTTACACGAAGGTGGAGAGCGGCAAAGTCATGAGGATGATGCAGGATCTCTACATAAACTCCCAGTCCAACATGATCAAGCAGCTGATGCTCGTGACTGATGACTTGAGGGAGCTGAATCTCAGCGAGGGCTCCCCCAGGTTCCAAGCACTCGTCAAGGAGAATAGTCAGTTGTTGGAGAGTGTTGCATACCTCAGGAGGCGAGTTGATGAGCTGCAGAAGACGGCGGAGGACTTTGATAAGCTGAAGCTGGAGAACCTCGTGCTCAGGACGAGGATCAGGGATCTTGAGCAGAAGTGAGGAGTTTGGGGTGTGAGGGAGTTCTAAGCCGTGTTGATATTGAAAGTGTGAGGCGAGTTTTGTATTGAATTTTGTATTTTTATGATCATTCATCTATTAAAGTTTTGCATTTTTTTGAATTCGATATTCAGAGTTTTTTCGTGTTCAGGAGTATTTGGTGAGTGAATTATTAAAAAGTTGCTACAATTCAATTTTTCTGTACAACGTATTCTATTCAGATATTTTCTATAGAATATCCTTGACTCAAATTTTCCAAGTTTTTTCGTTTGATTTTCTTGATGGAAAGAGAAGAAAAATAGAATGGAAAAACTGGAAAATTAGAGCCGAGGAAATTGTATTAAAAATGCCTTAATAGAATAAGTTGTATAAATGTATATTCATTTATTGAAGTTTTGCATTTTTTCGAAATCGGTATTCAGACTTTTTCGTGTTCAGGAGAATTTGGTGAGTGAATTGTGTGGGCTAGTTGGGGTGTTTACAAGTTATTGATGGAATATGCAGAAATGGAAAGGAAATTGATTGTAGGGTGTGTTAGTTTTGAGATGATAACAAACAATAATTCAGATCTGAATATATATTGAATATTTTATTACTTTTTAGCCGATTCTATTACAATGTTCAATAGAAAATATTCTATAGAAAAAGTTGATACAATTCGATTTTTCTGTACAACTTATTCTATTTAGATATTTTCTATAGAATATCCTCGACTCAAATTTTCCAAGTTTTTTCGTTCAATTTTCTTGATAGAAAGAAAAGAAAAATAGAATGAAAAAAAATGAAAAATTAGAGCGGAGGAAATTTGATAAAAAATGCGTTAGGGCCCGCATGGAGAGATTTTTTTCTTACGTGGCGATTTTACGCCCTCCCACTTTGGGGTGAAAGGGAGAAGCTCTATGTAAGCCGCTGCTGTGTCGGTAAACGAGAAAAATTCTATACGAAGATCGAAATGCAGATTATCAAATTAATAAAGAATAAAAACTAATTGGGATTATATTAGTTTATCACAATTATTAATACACTTGAGGAATATGTTGTATTTCAATGTCATCCTTCCAGTTTCATGATGATCCACACAAAACTCCGCCGAAGCATTCATAGAGAGTATCTGAAAGGCGTGGCTTCTACCTCATTGCCAGTATGCGGTTGGGGTAATCAGCTGGAACGCGTACATTGAGTCCATACACTAACTACAGATTTTCTGAAACATAAAGGACATCAATGACAAATACAATATAAAAATACAAAAATTCAATATTTTGTATGACAATTGCCACTACAGAAAGCAAGGAGTGGATTCACTGATGAACGCCCTGTAGAATTGTCTACAGACCTGATTCTGGGCACTCTTGTATGCATATAAATTACTCATTTGATTGTTGTTATTTGGGTATTCAACTGCCTTTTTGTTTATATTGCCATCATGTGATCATGCATTTTTCTTGGTTTCATATATTATATGAAACCAAGAAAAACGACTTATCACACCCGAACTCCGGTGTGATAAGTCGTTTACAGCGGAATTCTGTTGTATGGGATGAGTAGACCTGGTAATTGCATCACCGTTATTGAAACCGGATAAACTCGACAAAGGACGTAAATTCTGCTGTATATTTTCCTGCAAATTGAGTGGACCATTCAAGCTGTCACACAAATCCATGCGGTCATGCAAAGTTATCCTACCATACAGAGAAATGTTTACACTTACCTCCTCACGTCCTCCTCTTTCCCCGCTTCCGTCCCCAGCGTTGACCTTAGCGACATCTTCGGCATTGCCTGTATTGATAGTGGGGTTGCCTTCCATCCTGTGAGGTGCTTCCTTGGCCTTTCGACGCCTGTGAAAACGAATGGACATCATGCTGTGCACAAGTCGAAGCATTGATTTATGACAACTTGACGATTGACTTCTGAAAATTGGGCATGGAGTGATAAGAATTGTAAATTTTTGTCGATAGAGAATTACCAAAGAATTCATCTATGACCTTCAAATTCCTTCAATTTGGAGAAATTGGGGCCATAGTCACGTACATTGTAGTTGGGCATAATTTCTATCAATTGAAGCTGTCAGGTAGATATTGAACTAATATGATGTTCCGATGATTAGCGGCGTTGAGAAATAGCAATTTGCGATCGAAAACTGGACAGCCAACTCCATTCGTGATAAATATTCCGCGGATACTCAATAAATTTCTGTTTCTTTTCCCCAAAAAGTTCAAGTCAAGTTTCAACTGGACTTGATTTATGCGGTTGGGATTCCATCGAGTGAGACATTGTGGTGATACTGGGAAAAATCTTTCTTTTTTTTAACAAGAATGGAAGCGTTCGCAAGGAAACACCGTGGATGGAAAAAGGGTAGGGGAGATAGGCATATGGGTATTGCGAATTCCCCGAATAGGTGCTATTCAATGAGACAAGCCTAAATGTTGGTGCTCGACCCCCCGCCCACTTGTCCAGGGGATCAATGGAGTCAAGAGGCAGGGTCATTAGCCATTTCTCCAACAGTCCCGGAATGATGGACATGCTTGGACACATTAGGCGCGTTTGAATGGAGATAATTGAAATTTTGGTGCTCTGTCTCGACCGCGATTCAATGGAAGATCAGTCGAGTCAAAAGACAAAGTCATTGGACAAGTCTCTAGCAGTCTCGGAATGGTTTTTAATTGAAAACCAGAGTTCATAACAGAAATGTCAGACAAGATGTGAATGTCTTTTTGGGCTCAAATCAAAGAGCGAGTCTCGAAATGGTGTGCAAATGTCTCGAAAGATGATATTGTAACCAGAGGAGACTCCTAGACCCCACTGGACAATTTTGTCACAACTCTGCTTTTCAGACCTAGTTTTTGGTTAACTTAACCAGCATTAAAACCTCGGTTAAGATCTCTGATTTGTTGCACTCGGTGGTGGGGGGGCTTTTAACCGTGGTTAACTTAACCAAAAAACTGGCCCTCAATTGATAACACACATCATCTTTAAAGACATTTGTCATCTTTATCTGACCCCCCCCCCCCCCCGGCACCAAAGTTACCCAAACACTGTCAAACTGCCGGCATAAGTTTTTGCTTCCCAATGGAAGCCCTGCAATCGTTCAAATTTTACTTTCTCTAACAAATCACTCAGAAGCCTACCATCAATTTGTTGATGGCAAAAAACGAGTTTATGTCATTAGGCCCGATAAACGGCGATTCTTACCTCGCTTCGCTCGATTAGATCGCGGTTTTCGGGCCCAACGACATAAAATATCGTATGTTCCACGGTGATAAAAGCATTATCTGGCGAATGTGGATTTATAATCCGAGCCGAAGGCGAGATATAGTATATTTCGTAACGAGTGCAAAAAAGTGTTTTTTGGCGAGTGGGAGGTTTATATCACGAGCCAAAGGCGAGTGATATAATCCCACGAGCTAAAAAACATTTTTTCACGAGTTACGAACAATATTTTTCATCACAATGTGTCGGAAATTGGACTTTTAGGCACGCGGAGCGTGCCGAAAAGTTCACTTTTCATCACAGCGTGATGAAAATACTTTTATCGCCTTATGACATAAGATACTATTCACACACAACTTGGTAACTAAATGGATGTGATGTTCACAGACATGCAGTTGAAAACAATCGAAAAACATACTTTTTCGGTCCCGGTTTTCGTCTCTTTGTCGATAAACGCAGTTTGGCTTTCTTGCTCGGATTATCTTTCAATGTCCGCCCCATTTTGCACTCCTAATAAGGTCCACAAATCACTGACGAATTACGATGGCGAAATTATCCTCGAACACTAACAATACACTATCACTTGTTGTTAGCGTGTAACTTAGCCGTGAAGTCTATCATGGCGGATCCATCGTTCATGGTCATAAGCATAGACATTCCGCTCGACAATTCTCATTTCCGTACGCCGAGAGTGGCGCCATCTGGCGCACTTCAGTACAACTGAGAGAGACAGTATGGCGACAGCTGATCGCCTCAATTACGCCGTCACCATAGACATGAATCCCGGAAAAAATAGACCAGAAAAAAGGATCAAGGAAAAGAAAAATATAACACTCTATTTCTCCCCCTCTAGACCCAATTACCTTCCCGGGGGAATAAATTATCTGTTTTTTGAAGCAAAAATCAAACTTTTAAGTGAAACGATACGGTCGTAATTAATAACCGCGTAAAATGCTTTCGTTTTACAATTTTCTGGAGAATTTTCTAGGGACATGTTGGGCGAAAATCCATCCAAGCGAGCTGACGGAATATGCAGAAATGGAAAAGAAATTGATTGTAGGATTTGTTACTTTTGAGATGGGAACAAAAAATAATTCATATCTGAATATATATTGAATATTTTATTAGTTTTTGCCGATTCTATTAAAATGTTCAATAGAAAATATTCTATAGAAAAAGTTGATACAATTTGATTTTTCTATACAACTTCTTCTATTCAGATATTTTCTATAGAATATCCTCGACTTAAATTTTCCAAGTTTTTTCGTTTCATTTTCTTGATGGAAAGAAAAGAAAAATAGAATGAAAAAAAATGGAGAATTAGGGCCGAGGGCATTCTATAGAAAATCCCTTAATAGAAAAAATCGAATTCTATCGACTTTTTGACGTGAATTGTACATACAAACAAATTCTAATGATCTTTTCTAGTAAATATTGTCTATTGAACATTTCTATTAAAAAAAAACGAGCAGAAAATCTACAGAATTTTCAAATATAATAGGCGAAAATGTAAAAGAATTTTCAATAGAAATCCAATGTTGTGGAAAAGAAACAGAAATCCAATAGAACTTTCTTGTGAATTAGAAATTCGAGATACAGACATTTGGGTCATGCCTCGCTGACGAGGAGTGATGGATTTTTCTACTGCGCAGCAACATTAAAGGTGACGACATTTTTTCGTATTAAATTCATTATTTCCATCATTATTCATTCATTAAAGTTTCCCATTTATTCAAAATTGACATTGAGGCGTTGTTTTGTATTTACAAATATTCGATGAGTGACCTGATGATTGTGGGACAATTAAAGTCATTGAGATTCGTATTTTCACCACAGTCATTATAAATATACAAAAATGAATACAAACTTAAGAGTTTGTGATATTTCTGGCAGGATCACGTGGCTCTACTCTAAGAACAGTTCAGCCATCGTGATTCCAGTGAATCAACGCAGGAATTAAAACTTGCTATAACAATAATTAATAATCGATAAATTCCAATTTGGATGACGAACCGGAGTCCAATAAATTGATTTCAATCAAAATATTGAACCTGAATGTTTTTTTAAATGCACTTATGTACTATAATTGAGGCACAATGATGAACTATAACTAACGAGAGACAAAACTTAAGTCTAGGATTGTGTAATTAAAATTTTCTCAAATTTTCATGGACAGCTGTTTAGACTGCCATCGTTGTAATTTTTATCTGGTGGATGATCAGCGGTGTGAGTTGTTCACATTTGGCCACGCATTTAATTGTTCCAAGTGCTTACGTCCATTCAATTCGATAATTCATTTTTTTAGGGAGTGAAGTGATGATTCGAAATTAGTTCTAAATTATTAGATTATTCTGGAAATGTTCTTGAGAGGTTGACGTCAAGAGAAATTCATCACCAGGATTTTTTTTTGTTGAGAATTCAATCCATTGATCTTTGATAAATTTGCATAATTAAGAAAAAGTGAAACAGTTGATCGACATATCTCCCTTCGTTAATCATGAAATTATCTCAGTAACAATCGGCTCAACGATAAAAATAAATAATCGGCTCTGGAAAAGAACATGAAAATATATCTGTTGCAGACATTTTCATTCTCTCAAAGAAACTTCTCTTGATATTCCTCTTCATCCATTAATTGCATAAATATTTCCAAAATAATCTTCACAATATTTTCGATTCATATCGTATTCTCCAACACTTCACTACTGAATAAAGAACTGAATGTTCATCAGACGTTTTAAAAGTCTCAATGAGTCCCTTAGAACTACAGAAGACAAAATCAGCCATCGAGTGACTAGAGATCTGCTCTCAGCAGTTGATTGATGAACTCACGTACAATTATAAAACGTAAATTTCAAACGTCCCCCTTTCCATCAATTAGTAATGTATCCCTCAAATAAATAATTCTATTTTAAAAATGCCGAAAGACTTTTCCTATAGCTTTCGAAATATTCAACCAAAGACGTTTCTGGAAATTTCCTCTAAAACCTCTCATCAAGACATTTTCACATCTAACAAAACGTAAAAAAATCCACTCGTATTGCTTTTTCAATTATTCCATCAATCGAGTAAATCCCCTTTCTTATTTCCCTTCTAGGGATCCCTCAGCCTATTTCGCTCCTCCTGACTTTTAAACACTTTGGGAAGAAATTTCTCAATGGAATTTCCAGATGATTTTCACACGTAACAAAATGTGAAAATATCTGCTCATTCTATATTTAATTTACTCAATCGATCAAGTAATTAATCCCCTTTCTCGTCTCCAATTCTAAGAATCCCTCAGCCTATCTCGTTCCTCCCTCTCCTCATCCTCCTCCTCGCCCTCCTCCCTCGCCCCTGCCCCAGGCTCAGGAGGCCTGGTCCACCTGATAAGTGTCTCAGGACTCCTATAAAGGAAGATCAACTTAGCAAAGAGATCCTCCTCCAAGCTGAGATCCCCACTCTCCCTCACTAGATAAATATCCAAACAAAGCCTGAGAATCCTATCCACATAAGGCATGTCATCAAACATGATCTTGGGCGCCATCTCACTCACAGCCCTCCTCATGATCTGACTGATCACAATGACAGCTGTGGTATACAGCCCCAGAATCCCAACCCCACTGATGAAACTCAACCCCTCTGGGAACGCCTTATCATTGAACAAGAACATGAATATATAATTACAATCGTTCAACGGAATGAACCTCAACAAATTCATGTACATCTGATCATCGCAGTTCTCATCCACAACCCACCATTGTCCACTGGGGCTTCCAGTAGCAGTTGACAGATGAAGAGTTGCATTTCTGTAAAGATAATCCCTCCCATCAGACCCCTCACTATCGTCAACCCCCGGGAACATGGGAATCCTCATCAGCTGTGGCACCTCAGCAGTGATTCTGTTTGTGACTTTCAAAAACTTGGGAAAGACATTCCTCACCGGAATGGACACATTGGCCACATTCGGTGGGGGATCAGGCCCCAGTAACTCCGCGAGATTTTTCCTGAGGGGATTGAACTCCCCATTGATCCACGCTGGAATCTTGATATTCCTCGGGGTCGACGTGACCCCAGTCGAATCCTTGACGTCAGTCTTCCTGGAGACCGTCCACTCTATATGAAATGTCAAAGTGGCATTGGACTCCAGCTCCAGCCTCAGTCTCTCCTTGTCCGGTGGAGAAATAGCCCATAATTTCTTCGACGATCTGCTGAGCCTGACTGCAGCCACATCAGTAGCTTCATAGTTCTCCAGGAAAGTCGCTGCAGATTTGCTCTTTGAGTACACATTTTTCAGGGTCTTGAAGTCAGCCTCGGAGTACGAGAAGATGGAGGTGTCCTGGGCTGACATGGTGTAAATAGGCTCGTAGGAGCCAATCCTGATGCTCAGAGAGGCTTCATAAGGGAGATTGGACACCCCCACAGTGGCTCCAAGAGCGAAGAGCAGGAGGGGAAACCAGATGAGGCCGATTATGAGGAAGAGTCCGCCCCCTCCCACCATGTACTTGCTCATCTGCTGCTTCTTGACCCCTCGGGGTTGCGGAAAATCCGTCTCCACCCCCCTCATGCATTTGATCTGGTAGATAGACGCGAAGATGTCCTCCATCTTGAACCAGTCCATGATGGTCATGGAGGTGTCTGTCCAGATCCAGTCCATCACAGCTCGAAGTTCGAACAAGAATGGAACGAACATGAAGACTTTGAAGAGAGCATAGTTGATGATGTTGTACTTCTTACAGAGGAAGTTCCCCAGGATTCTGGTGGGATAACCCAGTCGCAGTTGGTAAGCTGCCAGGAGAAGGTAGAAGCACTTCACCATGTACCAGATCTGCGGTGGCAATCGATCATTGAACTGCCTCTCAGTTATGCTGGGCAGAATGAAGAACATCCAGACGTGAACACCGAAGATGAGGAAGTACTGGAAGACTAGCTTTCCGAGGATCCATTTACGAAGGAAGAGGGCTCTGTCAACGACAATCAGAGCGAACTGGAGGAGCAGCATCAGGAGGAAGGGCATCGGGACTCGATTCTCCTGGAAGTAAGCAGCCACACCACCATCGCCCTGCTGTGTACCGAAGGACGAGAAGCCGAAGATGATGAGGAGAAAGTTGAAGAAGTCGCAGAGGAACATGTAGGCGTAGACGTTGGTCTTCTCCTTGCCGTCTGGGCTCAGAATGTTGGCGAAGAAATTTCGAGCTGGCTCGAGGTACTTCTGAGCTGTGGCGTTCACTGCTGTCGAGAATTTGTCTGTGCAGACAGGGACTTCTTCCCCTTTTACCGCCACTAGGGCTTCGTTTGAGGCTGTGGACGTCTGAGGGGCTTGATCCTGGGCTGATGTGGATTGCTGGTGCTGTTGATCGTCGGAGGGAGTGTCCTCGGGGGGCTCGGGAGGGTGAGAAGGCTCTCGAGTTTGTTGATCTTGGCCTTCGTTTACCCAGTGGAATCTCGTGGGCTCTTGGCTGTTGTTGTCGGTGGAACTTTGAGTTGTGGCTAGGGTCAACTTCGAGGGGATGATCTTCCTGGCTACGTAGGAAGTCGTCCACTGACCCAAGGACTTCAGCATGAAACGGTGGAAGAAGACCATCAGCAGGAGGAGAAGGTCCCACAGGGCGTAGTTCGGCTTTTTCTCCACTCCCATTATCCTCGGGGGCCAGAGGGGGTGAGGGATATATCCCTCGTTCCAGGTAATGAGGTCCAACTGGAAAATACATTTCACGATAACGATGGCCTCGGTGTACGCTATTATTGTCACCCAGAAAGTTTTGGACGGTCGGGGGATCGTCAGGGAACCCCAGAAGAAGACCATCAGGGGGAGGGGGATCGAGAGGACTGAAGCATTCTTGATCTGGTGGAGGAAGATTATGAAGTAGCACATGAAGGTGGAGTGCGCCAAGATGCCAAACCAGATGGAGGCCAGGAGCTGGATCACTGGGGGCTGGTCCACCTCGGAAAGCTCGGGTTGCTCCTCTTCGGTTTGGGGCGTCTGCTGCATTCGCGTGAGGATCGAACTGTGAAAAATTGAGGGAATTAGTGACTGGGGTTTATGGGGCTGGGGAATTTTTTTCAGACACTCAGACGTCAAGGATGTTTTTGAATTCAATAGGGTAGTGGCCGTTTCGGACTTTTGTCAGGAGACATTTTTTGGTGTGAATTTTATATTTTATTTTAAAAAATAGAACATTCGGTAAGTATTCTTGTCTCTCTAGGTATTCTATTGAAATTCTGTTTTGTGGTATTTTTATTGAAAATTATATAATTATATTTTTCTATAATTATATAACGTTGTTATTGTATAATATATTATATTATAATATATATTATTATATTAATATATAATAATATATAATATATTAATATAATAATAATATAATAATATAATATATAATATATTAATATATTATATATTATTATATATTATTATATATTAATATAATAATATATAATATATATTATTAATATATATTATATTATATTATATTATATTGTATTAAATAATATTTTATTATATTATTTAATATACTATAATGTAATTGCAGGAGAAATTATTCTTTACTAAAATAAAACTATACAATAAACTAACATATAGGATTTGATATTTTGTCGTGAAGTCAATTGAAATATTTGCATAATCAATTAATCTTTCATGTCCGTCTTGAAATTTTTTCAACCACTTCATTATTGAATCACAATCGCAACATCCTTATTGACATTACACAAGCACATTAATTGTAAAAATCAATCGAGATGACTGTTCGATTGACTGAGAACTAGAAAACGAAGTAAAATGGAAAATGTGAAAAGAGAAATAAATACAGTGCGAGGCGTGCAGATAAGCAAACGGTGGAGTAGCACTTCTTTTCTTGCATTTCAGGGAAATTGTCGACATAATTTTGAGACAATGAATTTTGTAGGATAACCGGTACCTGGAGGAGGAACCGTCCAATCCTCGCTCCAAACTTGGGGCCAGAATTCGGATGTGGGGCAGGGTCAGCAAGCTCTCCTTCCTAGTGATAAAACAACACCATTTTCTCTAATTGGTATATGCCAAAAATGAAAATATTTACCCTTAGACGCAGACATCGACATAATCGAAATTTTGAATTAGAGTGAAATTTGGAATAAGTCAATTGTTAATATTACTCACCAATTTTTTGATTTTTGAAAACAACCATCAATGTAAATTTTCAAATTCCGAATTATTTTATCAATCATCAACTTAAATATTCAAATTCGAATTATTTTATCAACCAATAATTGAGAAATTAAATTACCAATTATTATATTAATTTTCAAATTTCAATTACGATAAATAAATCCAAATTACTATAAGGTGCAACTTCTCATAATATTACTAAAAGTAATGATTGATGCCGATCTATGCTCAGACATATTCGATAAATTTTGTTTTCTGTGTCAATGGTCAAAGTTGTCATCTTTCTTTTATAAAACTCCTCTCCTCATTCAATTTAGAGGATTCATTTTTTACTTGATTGGACTAATTCCCTTATTCACTTTGAGAATTGCAATTTCATCCAGTAGAAACTAAAAGTTTCCCTATTCTGCTTTAATTCATTCCAATATTTCAATGGTTTTATGAAGATTACAAGATATTTGCTAAGGATATGAAGGAGCGCCGCAGACGTATTTAAACCAGGTTTCCTTTAGTTCACTGTTCCTCTCATTGAGGTATTAAATTGGGAAAATGGAATAGATCAGCTCAATTCGAAAACGTCGATTTGAAATTTTAAAAATCATTGAAATTCATCAATGAAACAACATTGAAATCATTGTCATTGAAATTTTGGGGGATTTTTTGCGTTGCTGTTTCCTTGACCTTTTCTGCAATGATTAACATTCATTGCAGTGTTTTCGTATGTTGATTTTACAGAAATCTGATTATAGAATTGTTGTGTTAATAAGGATGATGTTAAATAGTATATTTTTATATGAGTGAGACGGAACTTTCACGAGTGTGAAGTCGGCGGTCCGAGAAAATGCCGAGGGCTGCCCATCACACGAGTTGAAAATTGCCGTCTCACATGTGTCGAACAATATAGTTGACAGTGGTATTACGTTCAGCGAGTGCCGGATTATATCTTTCTTCATTTATAAGTAAACAAAAAGGCACATTTCTACATACGATGAACGTAGCCGCAGGGTCAAAAATAATGAATTGTAATTATGATGAAATGATTTTGTGGTGAGCTGGTGTTGTGATAAAATGAACTGTGACGAATTGAATTGTGGTGTAATAAGTAGAGGAGAATTCCGTTTCACCAATTTGTAAGGAGAACCAAGTGGCTCAGGCAATTTATTGTGGACGAAATCCCTCTTAGGGTTTATAGAGTAAACCCTAAGAGTATCGTTTAGATGCAATTTCCAACCTTAGTTTCCAAACACTTGTTCGAGAAAACGATTTTTCAAAAATGAAATTTAACACATTGCGTCCGTAAGACGTGTATACTCCGATAATTAGAGTATATAACGACTCCAACGAATTTTTTGAGGAAACTGAATTAATTCGTCATTTATTACCAAAAGAAATTGAAATCAACAAGAAAACTGAGTCGGACTTAATTAGGTAAATAACTTGAAGGGGATGACTAGGTCAAATTTTGCCCTTTGTGGGGTTCATACCAGCTGCGTCCCCGTCGCGAACCCTAGGTAATGCTAGGGGCTGGTGAAGCTTGATACTTAAAAAATAAGTGTTTCACTACACGTTGAATTTATCAGAACACCTCATAATTGAAATTTAAAAAACTGCTTTTAGAAGGAAAAGCGGAGAATGGGAGGTCCCGTACACCTACATGAGCATACACGTTACTAAGTGTGTTAATAGCTCAAGGATTAAATTCATTTATAGAAAGGAAGGGTTAAATTCATTTATAGCAGTCAGTTTCCGACACAATAGATGTCTAAATACTTCAAGATCACATATAAAAACTTAATATTTATCTATCAGAATCCCGGGAAAATTGGAGTTGCTATATCAGCTAATTACCTATACTCCCACCGTCAAATCAATAATTAATAGTTTTAATGCGTTTTTCATCACTTGTGCCTAAAGTAAAATTTTACGCACGCTCCGCGTACGCAAAATCCCACTTTTCACACATTGTGATGAAATAGTATATTTTGATACGAGTGAGACGGAATCTTCACGAGTGTGAAGTTGGCGGTCCGAGGCAAAGCCCTGAATATACTTTTGTATATTCTTACAAAAGTCGAGATAACCGAATAGTATATTGTGTTACAAGTGCGTAAAGAACCACTTTTTCGTACGCACGCGTAACACATCCTATTTTTTGTAATAACTGCCGAGTTCATTGTTCGGAACCGCAGTGGGGGTAAAGTGGTTGCTTTTGTGCACGGTGTGCGTAAAGTTAAAGCTTCGCTTTACGCACTCGAAATTCACTTTACGCACGACCTCTGAACTTTACGCATATTGTGTGTAAAATAACCACTTTACACACACTAAACGGTTTCGAAAAGTGAACTTTCGAGGCAGGTATTACAAAAAGGTTTTATTGGTAGAAGGTCAATTTGACAAAAGTTCACTTTCCCAAGTTAAATTTAACCAGGTTTTCTTAACGAAGTTTTTTTGACAAAATTTTTTAGCCGTGTTCCAGGCAAAACTGAAATTTTGCTTCAGAAAAGTTGCTAATTTGAACGAAATACTTGGATATCCTTACAATGCTAAATGAAACAAAACAGCCAAATTTTCTCTGATTTAGATAGCCAATGGGTGCACAGAAATCATTAGTACCTAATGTAGTACATATGATCGTTGATAGACTGTGATAGCTGTGGATTAATTTCAGGATACCAAGCTACCCAACTAACTACTGGAGGATGAAAAAAGTTTTGTCACAAAACGGATGCTCAGCTTGCTGAAATTTACACTCCCTACCTTTGATCCTCGGTCTTTGGCTGACTCGGACCCTCACCACCGTCCGTCGTCTCGTCAGTATCTCCCTCCGTCTCCGAACTATCAGAGTGAACACATTTACTACTGCTCTAACGAGTACAAACTCATTGACGAGGGAGGAATAACTCGAAATGATCAGAATAAAATAACAAAAAATAATAACTTTCAGGATACCACGGCTCCTTGGCTTCAGGGAGTTCCTCTATTCTCATTTGAAGTATAAAATCTAAGTTGTTAACATTCCTGCTAATAACAAAATCTATTTGCATACTATACTATTTGTTCTAATTCGCTTCAATTTTTAATCTAATATTTTGATTTCTTTCTATGGTTAAGAGAATGCTTACCTCTGTTTCATTAATGGTATTGGCTGCCATATTTGATTGATTCCTAATCGCGTGCCCATCCTAAAATCTGGTTTAGCCTAGAAAAGAAATCATTAACAATTGTTAACAGAACGGGAAAGTTATAAAATTTGCGCTCAACTGAGATGACTCTAACTTTTATCTCCACTCGGGTAACAAAAATTTTATGAGGGACTGTTGTAGGAGAATTTGAGCTATAAAAATGATCCTGATAAACCTTTTAGTATCTTGGGCATTCGAAGACATTTACATAGTATTTCAATTCGCGAATCGACTTTCTTATTTCAAAATTACCTTTTGAAAAAAAATCCGTTTGAAAAATGTTTACGAGATTTTCAAAGAGACCTTTTTTTATAAAAAAAGTCTAGTTTTAAGTTGAAATTCAAACATAGAAATTATATTTTGATAATGATCTTTATATCCACAAAACGAACTTTCCTTTCAGGAAATCAAGGGCTTTATAAATTGGCTACAAAAAATTTGATATTTTCCTCAGGTACAATGGACATCGGCATAATCATAATATTTAAATAAATTCCTTTTTTATGTATAAAATCAGTTAAGGATATTAAAGAAATCCTCCATTATTGAATTATTCAATCAGTTATTCAAATTTCGAATTATTTTATCAATCAGTAATGCACTTCGAAAGATTAATGATTATTTAGCTAATCGAAAATCATTTTTGATAAAATTTACAATGAGTTATTTAACCCTTCACGTACGACACCCATATAACGCGGCTTGTCCCTACGGCCGGGACACTTACGGCGCGTCAACTCCGTTATTCAATGAACGATAACTTAAAAACAGACGAACGAAAAAAATTGAAATAAAATGCATTGGCTGCATTGAACTTTGAAATAAACTCCTAGAGAATTTCCTAATTTTTGACACCAATTTCAATGTTTGTCAACAATTGGTTGCCGAGATCTCCGAACATGCTAAATTTATTGATAACAAACAAATTATTCAACAAATCAAGATTTAACTTTTGCCATTCGATAGAAGCATCATTGAAATATTTTCAGTAAACATTTCGAAATTTTTGGGGCAGATTTTGTCGATAAACAAGAGGATTTAATATGATTGAATCGGTTGGACGTAAAATTTTCATCTACAACTTTTGTTAATAGAAAAAAATATTATACATGCATTGAAAAACAATGAAATAAAATAGTTCACTGCGGAGACAATTCCATTGACTTTCCAAATATCTTTTCCAAATGTCAATATGTCTCTTAGAATTCGTGAAAATGATTTTTTACTGTTGACGGAAAGGGTCGATACCATGCACTGACCTCGGCCGATAGGACAAGTTTATGGGTCGATGCATGGCATCGACGCCGTACGTGAGAGGTTAAAGGTCAAATTATTATGTTTCATTTTTTCATTTTCAATGAACATCAGCAAACTCCAACTATTTTGAGGTAAAACTTTTTTTAATATCGCCGCTAAAATAATGATTATCGCCAATCCCTGAATTACAATACCTTCGAAAACTTTCTTCCAAAAATTTTCGCTATTTCCAAAATGCACAGAACTTCCAAAAATTTTGGCTATTTCCAAAATGCACAGAAAACAGGATATCTCATCGGAATGTCTAATAAATGTAATTTCAATCTGTAATTACCTTCAAAATTTTCTTTTCCTTCGCAAGAACCTTTCGAATATACCGGTAATCCCTGGAGAATCTGTTTAGGTATCGTGTGGCTGAAACCATCGAGCTATTGATGAATTCCAGAACAAATTTGAAGTAAGTCAGCAACGAAGCGCCCTTCTTCTCCTCTCCATCTCCATCATCATCACCATCTCTTTCCAAACGTTCACCAGCGTCAGAAGGAGTCGGAGGTTTGGTCAGGTCATCATCCTTGAGCTCTCTCTCAGCCTCGGAAGACACTAGGCTCGTTCTGTCCCCGTCCTATTGAAAAAAAAAATCGTTAAAAAGCCACTCAACGTTGATTGGAATGAACAAATGAGCTTTTAGCAGTTGAAGAATTGAGCGTTAACTGTACAGCTGACTGTCCAAGCTAGAACGGCGATAAAAATACATTTTCTACGAGATGCAAGCCCATTAAATCCTCCACCTTGCATGTAAATGATGAACGAAAAATTATGAAAATCAATTAAATCCTGGAAGGATGGAAATTAAAAATGCAACGAAATGCTAAATAAAACAAAAAAATGATTAATTAATGAAACTGAGAAACATGAATAGGCTTTTTACACAGCGTAACTACGTAGGCGATACATTTGTCATTTTTTTCAGAAGAAAATGACAAATAAATAAATAAAGAAAAAGAGTGAATGGAACGAACGAGTGGAGAAAGTTGACGAATGATATTCACTAGTTGTCAAAATGAGATTATCTCGTTCAGAAATGGATTTGAGGGAAATGATCAAGAGGCATTTTGTGTAGATTATTTTCTCTACAAAAGTGGCTTCTCAACCTATTGTCCTGAAATCACTCATTTCCGAGATAAATAGATAACTAATTAACGAAAATTACACCTTCCACCACTCCACTACTAACAAAATAGTTCTAATAGAAAATAAACGATGGCACAATTAATGTGAGTCTAGTCAAGACATGCAATTTTCTTCGATAAAAAATCTATAGTTTATATTTTGGTACAAGAAAGTTCATTCTGGAGAGTACTCGTACAAAATTATTCATTTTCAATTCCTGGAAAATTCGATCCATGTCATTCATTTTTATAATGAATTTGAGAATTCGAACTGGGATTGAAAAATCAAAGTTCGTCTAGGATGAAAAACTCAATATTGCTGAATTTCCAAAATGAATACAAAACTCATGAATGATTTGATCTCAAATTGCAGTCAACTAACGGTGTATCTTAAACATTAAAGTATGCCGGCAAATTCATTACGAGCATTTTTTTGGAACGTAAAATTTTCTGTTAGAAAATTGTTGAGGAATTCCACCAAATTCGCAAGTTTATAAAATATTAACAGAATAATAGGCCCGTAATTTCTTTAGTTATCTTTATCTAAAGACTCGCTACTCAATACCTATGGAAAAATTAGAAAAACAATTAAGAAAACTTAGCACTTCCTCCAAGGAACTCTCTCCAATTTCTACTAGGAGTTTATAAGAATGTCCTTAGATTTGTATCTGAATGCTATTAAAATTCTATTTATTTTTAAAAAATTTTGATAGGCTAAAGTCAATAGACTAACACTCTGACTTTTCATTTGAGATTTTTTTCTTGAGAAATTCTTGGGTATGTTCTAAGTTAGGAAATTCGTGCCCAAGAATTCTTATACAGTCAGAAAAAAATTACTTTTGCCAAAGAATTATTTTCTCGGTAGCATAATTAATTTTTTTAAGAACGTATTTCTCCAGGGCAGTCATTTCCAAGTGGTCCAAATCCATCTCTAAATGCTATATATGTCCTTGAACTCCATTCACAATTATTAACACTTAGAATAATTCCAAATTATTTTACGTAAGAATATCTCTATTTGAAAAAATTGAAAGGTAATGAAAGGTGTCCACTCAAGGTCATATGTAGCATAATCATTTCATAATTGTAATATTTGGAGATGGACATGGACCACCTGGGACTAACTGCCCTGGCGAAAATATAAATACGCTCCTAAAAAAAAAAAATTCTTCTCCCAAAAAAACGATTCCTTGACGAAGTAATTTTTTTCTCAGTGTAGACAAAATCCCCACAGAATAAATTCCGTAGAAAAATCAACGTCTTTTGACTTTCTTCCTTCAAAAATCTATCGAAAACGTACAACAACGTTGTAACATTTTCAATAGAAATCGACGCAAAAAGCGAATAGAATTTTTGTAACTATTTTTATAAAATATTAACAGATTCATCTCATACGTGAATTAATAAAAAAATGATAATAAATAATGCATGCACTGCAGTTAATTAACACGTTAAGAGTGACGGTTAATCAGTTATCGATATTAGAAAAAATATTATCATTTTAAATACATAAATTCCTATAGATTTTTCACCCAAGAAATCACATCAATCAAGATTTTAAAAAATTCATTTTATGATTTTTCTGATGGAATGTGGTGGGGTCTCACATCGGATGCCGCGGCAGTCTCAGTTTCGGAATGTGCGCTGAGATATGACATTGATGATTTCTTGCGAGTGAGGGGAACACTCTGACGTCGCAACCTCAACGCATCCTTCTGGGTTCCTCCGTACATTGCGACGTGCGTCGCAATCTCAATGTCTGTCTTAATCAGGGTTGTCATCAGCTGAAAAGGATATCACTCGAAAGGTTTAATTAAAGGTGCATTGAGGAATTTCCTTGAGTTAATTATGGCCGCTATGGTATCACACTGGTGTTAATTGTGCATAACAATTGTTTATGAAAGAACATCTAGTTTCTATTGTTTTCCTTCGATTCTCATCATTTCTCATTTTTTTCCATTTGCAACACTAGGAAAATAGCTTTTAACATTTCGTGATGGAGCATGAGTACCAAAAATTGAAATTATCTCATGTATAGTCTCCATTGAAAGAAAAGACTTCTAACTGTGAAAAAAGGGCATGAAAAAAATTAACAGAAAACCTGGCGCATTCGCTGGATAATTTTATTGGGATTTTAATCGAATTCTGATAGAATCCTATTTAAATATCAAGAATAGAAATTTCAAAAAGTCAAGAGATATTTATTTTCTATAAATTCCTCCAGATATCTTTTCTATAAATTTTTTTTGACATTTATTATTCGATTCCCAAAATTAAATAGAGAAAATACAGAAAAAAAATCATGTCCAAGAATTTCTACAGGAAAAATCTCAAGAGAATGGATTATTGAAACATTTAAATTTGCTAGATTTCCTAGTGAAAGCGTGAGTTTTTCTATTGAATATTTTCATACGTAAAGAATAATTAAACATTGTGATAGTTCGATTTACTGACCTCTGATACTGTCATACGTCTTCCCCGCTGCCTCTGACGCTCTCGCCGTTCTTCCTCCTCGATTTGATCCTCTGGTGATGGCAGAAGGTCTGTGGCATCCTCTTCATCATCGAAGTCATCGAACATGTAGTAATCTCCAGATCTGACAGCTTTTGAAGTTACAGAAGAATATTGTTAGGCTTTCTGAGAAGTGAGAAGAGTATCGAAACAATTAGGGGTACTGAAGCCATGCAATCTTATAAAAACCACTGGACAACCCGACGAATCTAGACGACAATCAATTATTTTTTATGTACAATCGGTTGGATAAATTTACAGAGGAGACTGAGGATTGTTATGTTCAGTTGGATTACTGTTAAATTATCTGGAATGTTATTTGGTTGGTTTGATTGGTTATTCTTGCGAGGTCTGAAAAATATTGAATTTTATTAGGTAGAGGGGTCGTTTAGATGGTAGTGTGGAGCACCAGAATTGGAAGACACTGACAGCGGGAATTGGTTGTTTCTCTGTAGAAAAATTTGTACAATTGAATTACCCTCTCTGTTGGTCTTTGGTGTGCGGTGTTTGTACAACGGCCGATCTCTGGGATAGAGCGTATCTAACAGAACACACATATCGACATGAATGAAAAAAATCATAATTGATGAATTTAGGATGAACCAAGATCGATGGAGAACATCGAATCAGGAACATGCGAGTTCACTTCTTACATTAATTGACATAATTGTGCCGATTGGGGTATAACACTAATTTTCAATACCAAAAATTGAAAATTTCCATCAGTACATGATAAGGGGACACTTGGAAATTATTCCGGAAGCATCTTCGAAAGAAAGCTGTCCAGAGAAATTCGTTGCAAATTGTTTTAGAAGATTTTGTCATACAAAAACAAAAAAAATGGGTAAGTATTCAAATATTTGCAAGAGTGAAGAAACTGTAGCATTTTTTATCGGCCTATCGCTTTTTTGTAGACCCTCTCTACACCCAGAAAAATGATTTATTCAAATCAAACAAATTAGTGTATTTAAATAATATGAAATAACATTTTTATTCAAATTCAGAGAATTTCTTCATTTTAAATGAATAAATTTCTTATTTGAATTTCATTTGAAATGGATATGTAAATTGTTTTCCTGAATGTAATAAAAATGTTATTCGCAGTTAAAAAATTATATATTTGATATAATCAAATCCTTTTTCTTGAAACAAGTAAACAAGTTATTCATTTTTAACAATCACATCCTTCAAATGGATTAAAAAAAATTAAAATAAAGATTTTTAGTTGATTCACATAAATCATTTTCTGGGTGTAGCTTTCTACTTTCGGGGCTCGAGATTTGAAGCACAGAAGGCTAGAGGTTGCCCCTTCCCTACGCGTAAGGGGCGTGCCTTACGAAGGAGATACCGCGATTATTCGAGCGAGAACGCTATAGCCATCTGCACGCCCTAGTACACACTCCCCTCTAGAGCTGTCTACCTTGCGAGACGTCGCACACGTAGTGGGGGCAATATTCCCCTCACTTGGTGATGCCCGGATGGCCAGAGAAGTGGAGAGCACCCTCTAAAAAATTCTATTGCCTTTTTACTGTAACGAGACCGAACGCGCGCTACAACACGCTGTAATTGTAACAATCATAATTGAAAATCTCAAAATTAAATTAATCATGAATCAAATTTGCCGCCTCTGACGACTGGAACCAATGAGGAATAAGCGTGACAGACTTGCGAGATATCGATAGTTATCGACGTTAAGTGTATGTTCTTTTTAGAATAGGATTGTGCTAGAATTTTATGTGAACTTTGTTGGAAATTTCATTGATATTCTAGTGGAGCTCTTTTGAAAATGTATTAGATTTTGATTAAAATTCCATTAGTTGTTTGCCGATTTCGACTAAAAAGGATGCAATTATGTTGTGGGATTGCTTTTTCGTAACTATGATAGAAAGAAGTAGATAGATATTGCTTTCTCGAGGTTTTTCTCTGAAACCCTTAATTTATAAAACATTCGTAAAACAATTTGTCCGAATTCTCAAATGAGGAACGCATATTCTTCAATTAAGAATAAAGTTGTTTCGAATCAAGACTTCCATAATCCTTCATTCAGACTTAATTCAATTCTCAATTTACCTCTCCTAGAACCAAATCTCGTATCTTCGACCAAAGAATAAGCTATCGTGTGCATTACGCAATAAAAAAGTTGCAAATTTTCAATTTTTGGGATAACAATTAGAATGCATACCCCAATATCTAAATAAATATCACGTCGCGTGATGGAAGCATATGTACATGACACGATGACGAAGGCATGATGTTTCGTAGAACGGTTTTACATGTGTGATGAGATCGCTGTGATCGCGAGGTGAAAGAGACGATCGATTGTCTCGGCGTTGGGTTATCGGACATCCAGGTGGTCCCCGCAAAGCTCGACTGCCTCCTGTGACGGGTACCAAGTGTACCCGATCGTTCGCTCGAGGGGAGAGGATCATAAGGGGGTGGAGAGAAAACTGGAAAGGTCTCGTCGGGGGATGGACCCCGAGGATTGAGTTCGCTGTTCGGTGGAGAGCCAAAGGATATCCTAGTGGGCTCGAGGTAACCCTCGAGGCTCACCGTGAGGATCGCAGAGTTGGGGGAGGGAGCTTGGAGGAGGGAGGCAGCACGAGGTGTTAATGGGGGTGGATCCTCATCCACTTCATCTCGTCTCTCATCCTCGTCAGTGTCCTCCTCATCCAGTGGAGTTCTGTAACCCTGGGGTGGAGTGTGCCCCGAAGACACGCAGGTACTCATGCTCGATGTTCGTGCCAATGGCGCCACTCCTTTTTATTACGATTGCGTGAGGAATACCATTTTTGTTAAACGACGATTTTTCGGATTGAATGAATCCCCACATTTCAATCAAATTCGATCATTTTTATTATCCCATTGGAGTAATTGTTTGATTGGTCATACACTGAGAGAAGAATGAACAGATTCTCAAACAAATCTTCTTTGCAGAGAAAAAAAGTTTGGTTTTTAGGCACATGTCAGTGATTTTTAAGATCATCTCACCGATTTTCGGGGACACGTCGCTTATTTTTGAGAATCTATCATCAGTTATTGGTGATACTGCACACTGACTAACATGACATGGTTATCAGTGATTTTTATCGCTGAAATTTGGTGATGAATTTCAATTAATTTCACAATCATGAGTCCTAAATAATTGGGGAAACATTGCTGAAAATCAGTGACATGTCCCTGAGAATCAAATAGTATATTGCCTTACTAGTGTCCGCACAAAAAGCAACAATTTAGTGAAATGTTTTATCTGAAGACAGTCTTCAAATGGTCAGCACTAGATTTTCTTTCTTTATTGCTTTAAGACTCGTTTGAGAAAAGATTTTTTTCTCTCTCAGTGAATATTTTAATGCTTTCATGATAAATTCTTCTTTCTCGTAGAGAATAGATTAAATATAGATTCGAGTGGTGAAAATGTAAGTTGACTTCTTTCATCTTGTTGAGTATAGGATTATCTCATTCATGAGTGATTTCAGGGAGAACCGTCAGATCTTTCCAATAGGCTATTGTAGCAATAGAAAAAATCATTTCTCATTCAGTGATTAAATCCACTCAAAAGATTCTTTATTTTACCTTTCGTGATTAGGACGGTATTTTTCACGTTTCACGGAAGGTAAATCTGACTTTGTGCCTACGCTGACACGAAAATTTTTATATAAAATTTGGTTTCCTGTAGATTCCACTACATCATCAAACAACATCGATTAACCATCAAACTATTGCAATTAATTTAGAAGAGATACCATAAGATGGGGTGCTAACTAGACGAAACCATCAAATTTCCATTTTTTCATAGAAACTGTCATTAGCTACAAGAATGATCATTTGACATTTCCTCCTAAAACCACTTATTCCCCGGAGAATCGCGTTTTACTCAGATTCCAAAAGCTAAAAACGAACTTAAATGCCTGCAGGATAATTCTTCTAAAATAATTCATAACGAAAAAATATCATTTAAACTCACCGACTTTGTGATCAGCTGGTTCCCTGTAACTCGGCCCCTGAATCCTCTGCTGATCCGCCTTAATCTTATCCATCTTGAACTTGAGCTTTTGCAGCACAGCCTTCTCCACATTCTCCTGATACTCAATTCTCTTCCTATGCAGATCCTCCAACAACTCAGCCCCCCTCGATGCCAGAATACTCATAGCTTTCGTTTCATCCACAATATGGAAGAAATAGTAGCTCTTGAACAGCCTCTTCTGAATAATCAGGAACGTGAAACAAAGCCCATCCCAGAACATCCCGATATCCTCCCTAGGCACATCACAGGTTGCACTCAACGGTAGATTCGAACCCTCAAACTTCTGCAGACAAGCTATCCCCAACAGTTGAATCAGCCAGCAGGCCGACTCCTCTAGCTGCTGGATCAACACACACCCCACCCCCTGCAGAATCGTCTTCGAGAATATCACAATAACATTGTACCCAAGCAACAAGTTCCACCACTTCAATATCGTCTTCACCGGTCTCAGATAGAAATCACTCCCTTGCCACAAAAATACAAAAGCCCCGATCAAGTACCCCAGCGAGAACAAATTAGTCCTCTTTGTCCCAGCCAGAAACATGATCGAAAGCGTAATCCACAAGAAACTCAACATCACCCCCCTCTTCACAACATCCAGCCAGCAATGAATACGCGAAACGTAATCCTTAACTGGATTAACAAAGTTCGGTTTCTCCATATCCTGGAAGACCGAATAGTTGTGCCCAGCGACGAATTCCTGTCCCGTAGCGACACTCCTTGCTTCAATCCTGAACACCAAACTCTGTCTCACAACCATCAGAAGGAGGAAGAAATCGCAAATGAGCTTTTTGGCATTCGGAGGAGACTCGGGATCAGGCAAGTACATCCATTCTTGGAGTCTAGTGAGGATCTGGTTCTCCCGCCATGGGTAATCGACGCAGAGCCATGTAGGGGGCGCCACAACAAAGAAATACTGAAGGGGCAGAAGGATCATGACAAAGATTTTGAAGAACGGCCAGATTCTGGCGATATTCCTACGTTTCTGGGCGAACATCATCAACAGCCAGACTCCATACAGCACGGAGAAGAAGTCCAATCGTGTGCCAATAAGTGCGACCAGCGCCATGAGGCAGAACTCAAGTCCGAACTTGTAGAAGCCATAGTTGAAGAGGAATTTGAGGCACTCGCCAATGCCTTTATCTGCGTCGGCTCGAGTTATACTTTGGAACATGACTTGAGGGGTGTCCAGGGATTGTCCTTTTCCGTGTCTGTAGAAGCACTGACGCACCATGATGATGGCTCTGAATGTTGTTACGATGACAATTCCGATGTAGCCTTTCAGCAGATCTGGAAGCATCCCAGGTTCTGCCTTTTTGAATCCAATCCACTCAGCGCTGTTGTAAGTGTGATTAGATGTGATGTTATCCTTATCTGGGATCTCACTCGTGCAATTAACGTCCCAGTTGTAATGATTAATGTATTTTATCTGGTACAACATCTTGGCGACCATGAGTATAGCCACCGCCACCGCCATTCCATTGATCGCCATTATCTGCATCGATCTTTTGAAGTTCATTACGACGGCAATTGCTATTACGAAGAATAGGTTTATGGCACATACGTCGTTGATGCAGAGGAGCATCAGGGAGATGTAGATGATCTTCTGCATGTGGATCTCGAGGAAGAGCCAGAGGTAGTTGTAGGCATTTTTCAACTGTTCTATGACTCTTCGAAAGAGCGCAACTCGTTCCAGTTTTGACATGTGTTTTAGTTGCTTCAAGGTGTAGATTGTTGATCTTTCTTCGTTCTCACCGAGGAGAACTTCGAGGGGGGATACAACTGGCGCGATTGACGTGGATCTTCCTAGGCTTCCTCTCTTGGAAACTGTGTCGACGCTTATTTTGTCGATGTTGGTGGCTTCGAGGAAGTCGTTGTGGAAGTAATGCATCTGGAGGACAGTGATTATGACAAAGAAGGTTGGCGTGAGCAAACGGACGAAGAGGTCTTTGGTCTCATATGTCTCCAGCCCAATGTCGTTTTGAAGGTCTTTGTCTATGTAGAGACGCTCCCAATACGTCGGAAAGTTGTGGAATTGGTAGGTATAGACGAGGATCAACATTACGACTGAGTAAACGATGACAGTTATCCAGAATCCGTACATCATCTTTCGCCAGCCGGACCAGGACATCTGGAAGGAGATGACGAAGATGAGGAAGAGGGACATGTAGATGATCCTGAAGACTGTCATTCTCTCGCCGGTGATACCACTGGTGAAGAGCATTATCGCGACGACGACGATCCAAAATTTGGTGAAGAGTTTTTTGATGACTCGACCGACGTCCTTCATGAATTGGGATTTTATCTCCGTGCTGTCGTGCTGCATCGCGGATGTTGCTGCTGATACTGTCACATGAAGGGGGGCTACCATGTCCCTGAGAGTTGACGATCGCTGGTCGCGGATCTTCTCGGACATGTATTGGCGCATTGTTATCCAGAACATCGTCATGAAGGCGCATTTCACGATCAGGTGGTAGCTGCTGAGTTGACCGGTCTTGCTGAATCCCATTTCGGAGAGGCTGAAGCCATCAATGACTGTGGGAAGCTCGTCTTCGGTTAGATTCATGCTGAAGACGTAGCCGACGAGGACTAACAGGGTGCCGTAGGTAACGATGAAGGGGGAACACTTCATCATGGAGGCTCGCTTATCCGGGACCATCCAGAGGATGAGCGCCCACAGGAGGAAGACGAAGGTCGTCCAGCTATGATACATTATGCTCCAGGTCATCATTATTATGTTTGTGGCTAGGTAGGACGAGTTGGCGACCAGTTGGAAGATCGAGTAGACGGCCATTATTATTTGCTCGATCGTACCTGGCTCGTCTTCTTGCGCGCCTGGGGATTGTTTGGATAATTGCAGTCAACGGAATCCTTTGATTATAGGAGATAGCTACTCGGATGAGAAAAATGATTGGAATTGAACGAAAATCGAGACTTTGGGAAATTTGAGAATATAAAAATATCTCGTACATAATTTCTCATTATGAAATTTGTAAATGCCACGAGAATGTTAAACTTGTAAAAGCACAAAAATATTTTTTAAACATTCGCTTCTGATAAATCAATAATGTTAATTGTTTGAACATTCGGAAACCTTATTTTTTTACATGAAATCAATTTCTGGTAAAATTCAGAATTTTAGTACGATTTCAAAAAAATACTTCTAGGGTAGAAATTCGGTCCAATTGTTTTTCATTATGACATCGACATTTATGTGATAAATGCTAGAAAAGTCTAGAATATTCTAAAATATTATCAGAGCACCTGTAGAGTGCATCGATGATGAAAGGGCCTCGTAGGTGAGCTCTCAAATCAATCAAGAAGTTGTGATAAATTTTTACGGTAATTTTACGATAAAATCACACTAAATTGATGTAAAAATTCCCTCGCAGAAAACTGCTGTATTGGTTTGGAGCCTTTTTGTGACTTTCTGGAACCTTCCATGATCTTCCGAAGCGCTAGCTTCTGAATTAATCGCAAAATTTGTAAAGATTTCTGGAATATTCCAGTCTTCTGGAACATTCTGCATCGGAAAATTGTTTTCCAGACGATTCGCGAACTTTGCAAAGGACTCTGTACCGTTCTGGACCTTTTTTGAACTTTTTAGAACCTTCCATGAATTTCCGGCAAAACGGACATTTCAAATTATATAGAGTAAGATTTCATCAATTTTCTTAAAAAGGTGACTTTTTCTTTAATTGCAATTGCTAACGGGAAAAATTTAAAGAAATTTGATCTTGTCAATTGAAGTGTCTAAAGAATTATAAAAGTTTTTAGAAACAACATATTTCCCGGAACTCCTAAAGAAAACAAATTATTTCGAACACATGAATTATTTTTTCCCATGTTAAATGAAGTTGCTCATCACGTGACGTTGCCAGAAACTCGCTAAACGCGTCCGCGCAGTGCAGAATGAATTCGGCAACGCTAGACCCTATATAGCACGGCGGGGAATCCCCGCGGAGGTGACCAGAGTCGCAATGTCGCGTTTGGTGACCAGACCAGGGTTACCGATTCAAAATAGAGAATCAAATTCAGAACTTGCAATTTTCAATAACCTAGCATCAAATGGGCTTATTAAGTTTTTCTATTAAAAGATCTATCCTCCAAAAATTTCCGAAAATCTCGAGGAATGAAAGTAAAGACGATACGAAAAAAATGTAAAAAAAATTACTCTGAACATGTTCATTTAGGGTTGGAGAGATGGATTTACCGTCACTCATGGATTGCATTTGAATACTGTCGTCATGTTGTCCGTCCTGAACAATGACACTTCCAGTCGAGTCCTGAAGAAGGCCAGTCCTTCCGGACCCAAACCGCATCAACTAATCGACAAAAAAAACTATATAAAAACCCCATCAAATGTCTTCCCTTCCCCTATCTAAATCATTCAAGTTAGTAAACTGTGATTTGTGTCATTCAAAGAAACCAAGTGCTTCACTTCTGTGCTCAAGAAAGCGAAACAGCGCACATGCAGAAGACATAGCCCTCACCATATTAGTATAATCTCCAATGATATATACTCTATTCCTCTGAGTTTGCATGCATTGAGAGAGAGCATGGATAAATCATCAATGACATTTGAAAGGCAATGAAACTGGAGAAAAAAAATAAAGCTTGCTATTGGATACGTACTGGTGTCCTCTCGTCAGGCTGACTCGGGGGTGTGACAGTCAGCTTCTAAAACACAGCAAACCAAAGAAAACGTAGGCGAGCGCATCCAGAACGAACGAAAGAAAAGATATGAAAAAAATATATAATTGTGAGTTTGGAAATCAATCGTTCAGTGTCATCAATCCATCATCCCTCCACGGATATCCTGGAGTTGCTCATTACCCCACCGCAATTTTTCTTGATTGTCAACGCAGTAATTTTCTTCGGAGGTTTCTCCACTGAGAGAAAGGAAACTACCGAATAGCACAAAAATTATTTGTTGAACTAAGAAAATAGCTATAGTAGCATGAATATTTCAACAGTCCTCGGAAACAGGTTTCAGACAATGAAACGGTATTCTTCGATATAAAGCAGTAGGATACTGAATAAGAATTGATATTTTTTTCGAAAGAAGAGAATACCCTAGAAACGATAGTATGGAAATTTGAAATAATAAGAAATAATAATAGGTAATGGGGAACTTGCATGAAGCTCAACTCTTTCGAATTCCCCTATGCAAATATTCCTCATAACAAATGGATAGCTAAAGGGCGAAAATTATGGAGGTATATTGCCTAGATGTCTCATGATATTTAACTGAAAATCAGTCGTTTTCGAAGCCAATTTTTCGGTCCTGACGTCACGAATACGGTCAGGTATAGTGATCCCACGAGAGACTTCACGAGACAAAATTTTAGAGAGATGATCTCGGTCTCAACGAACATGAAAATCTTTACTCTCATCTCAATCTCGAAAGAGGCAGTATCGACTCCTTTCGTGATGACTCCGAGCCAATTTATCTCATCTTGATCTCAAGTTTTTCATGTTTTTTAAGGTAAAATCTCGGTTTTTGTCTCAGTTTGTTTCGTCTCGGTTTTCTACATATTAAAAAACACTGAAACTGAGACAATCCCTCCGAACTATTGTCTCGTGATGTCTCGTGAAGTGTCCCGCGGCGTCACTAGTCAGGTTCTTTCTTCTAAACTCATTGCAATTGAGAGCAAGCGACGATTATATTTCCGTCAATTTTACTTTACGCACAAGTGATGAAAAATAAATTTTGCTTCAAATTGAGCCATGCAAGTTCTACTTTTAGCTATAAATTTGTCCGGAAAAGACATCACAAAGATGTCACACTTGGAAGTTGCGTTGAATGTACCAATGGGGGTGATGAACCACCCCAGTGTGTCCGTAGGAGGACCGCCCAGAAGGCGACTTGGATAGGATCAATCGAATTATTTTATATACATTAGATAATTAACATAGCCGATCTGCAAATGAAAACGTTTGAAATATGACGGGAAAAGTATAATATGAACAAGCACAAGCCACATCGATCAAATAGTCCATCTGTTTCGGCTCTCTTTGTTTATATTTTCCGCCGAAAAACAGTCTCAGTCTTACTCGTGCCTTTCTGCGGGCCGACTGCCACCTCTGAGATGGCGTTCTTCGTCTGATTGAAACATGACGTGACAATGGTGTATCCAAATTCCGCAATTTGCCACTCAAACGCGCGGTATTTTCGACTTGTTGTGGCTGCCTCAGTTTTTAATGAAAGCCGCATTGGAGTGAGAGACAGAAGGTGAGAATTTTTTTTAAAATTGTTAGTGAGAGCGCCAGAGACTAAACAAAATTATTTCTGTTAATTTTGTATTAGTGTTTAGACATTGAAGGGAGGGAATGAAGAAATATTTTTGATTATGTTGAACATTATTGCAGAATAAATTGAATTTCAGGGGATTTTTCGTCATTTCTTCAGAGGCAGATCCAGGAATAGCCATATTTATAACTGATAATCCCTTCTAAGAAATTAGAAATATTCACTTAATGGAAAATTTAGAGTTCTATATTATGAAATATTTAATTTATCATCAATCGGAAATTTAAACTAATAATATGATGTTATTTTTAAATTTTGATGAGTATATTTAAACATTTATCAATGTAAGTCGCAAATCCTTTTAATATAGAAGAAATATAATACTGACGGCCATTTCTGGATAGATCTACTTTTAAACTCATTTTTATGTGCAAATAGTGTTTGAAAAAAACTGAATTATTGCACGTATGGAAGAATTTAACACGTGTGGAGAATTCTATCAAGCTTGTAAGTATAAATTTATTCAAAGTTTGTTTGTTTTTGTCGATTCTACAGGAAATAATTTACGAAAAGCCTCAATTAACTATTCCTAGAGAAATTTTTGGACTCGAATTGTCCAAGTTTTTCTTTTGCTTTGAATTGTTTATTGAGTAAAAGAATGGATGCAGTGGAAAAAACTTTGAAAATGTATAGCAAGGAACTTCTATAGGAAACCTATTCAATTTCTTCGTAGGTGAAAAGAATAATTTTTTACAACTTCCCGAACCTCCCTGAAAATTTCATTTCTTAAAAATTATTTCTTCATTTTCGTTTCACCATGGATTAGAATTCCCGAGTAATTTTAGTTTAATAACAATTTAACTTACCGTTTTGTTGAACAAATACTGCGATTGTAATGCAAGTACATAATAAAGCCAGAAGAGTCCGAGAGCATATCCATAATTCGCCCACTCAGAGTCTTTCTCTGGAAAATCGACATTCCTGGGATCTGAACAGTTGGTCTCATAATACGGTACGAGGGCGAAATATCTGGACCAAGTGCTGTTCACTGGGATAAATTCCTGTGGCCACTGATTCTGATACGTCAGTAGAACGACTATATGTACAACTACCACAGCCATCACGAACCTGCAGATACCTGCGAATATTTTCTTGAGCTCTTTGTGACATGCCCACCATGTTGCTGCTCCCAGGAATATTAGGAAATAGAACCCGCCTTCAACGGAGGGATTCAGAGAGGATACGCAGCAGAGGGAGGCCAGGACGATGTAGCTGCCTATGCTGCCTAAGAAATTGATGATCTGTTCCACAGAAAAATTTTAAGCAATTTAATGCCAATTTTTATATACTAGACGGGGCCAAATTGCATAAGATCAATATGTCGTCATTTTTTAAATTCAAATTCCCCTGATTTTCACGTTCTATAATAACAAATCCCCTTTGAAATGCCATATGAATAGTTTCATTCACTTGACCAATAGTTATAGAAAAATCCAAACTAAGCTGAATTTACAATAAACATCATGAAATCGAATTTTTGGATAAAAACGCCCATCTGTTAAGGAAAATTAGCCTTAATTAAATAATTCATGGGCCAATTTCAAGGTAATTTACTATATTTTCACCTGGGCATAAGTTATCTCCACAGATTTGAACAGAAACCGAACAAAACTAGTCATTAGAAGGAGAAATATGGAAATTTTCGAATAGATTATATGGGGTCTCAATTTGAAGAGCTCGATGAGACCTTCAAATCGACATATGATATATCCCTGCTAGTCAAGTCGAAAGCCTCGATAAATGGCAATAACTGTCATTTCCGAGGTGTGATATAACGTAAAAAATGAAAACAATCCACAATAACTTACTGAAAATTGAATTAAATGAAATTTATCACCCACTATTTTGAAGAATAGTAAATGCTCTTCAAATTGCAATGTAGATATCCCTGTCTAGTCCACCGAGAAGCATCGAAAAATCCAACCAAAGTTAATTTTACAAGTGAAACATGAAAATTTAATTTTTGGCTAAATCTCTCATAAGCTAATGAAAAATTGTCAGAATTGGGCAAATCACGTGTACGTAATACATTACATTAAATGTATGGTTCGGATCAGGATTTTTGTACAGGGGAACGTACAACGGACAAAACGAGTGATTTTTTTGACGATTTCATTTTTTATTGAATTTCATCGTGTCAATTATTTGGGTTAATGATGACTGAATGCTGAATTATTCGCGTAATGATCAATAATGTTTAAGGGGAGACTACTGTGAGTTTTAAAAATCGTGGGTTATTGAAGTGAGACTTTTCATACGTAGAAGATCGATTATCTACGTATAAAGATGTGAAAACGAATAATTAGTGCAAACAAATTTTTTTTTTATTGTTCGCTTGCCCGAAAATGCTTAAAATGCCAAAAACAGTCTAGGGCCTCCAATTTTTGAGCTGCGGAGGATTTTTTTCAAAAATTTCGGAAAAATATGTGAAATAACAATTACGAGCTAGTTTTTTTTTAATTCGCGTCTTACATGGCTAAATTTGCTTTTTTTGTATTTTCTTTACAAAAATAGTGACTTTTTTTATATAAAAAAAAACGAAATCAGCTGTGTAGGAGTCGAATTCCAAAGAACTCAAAAATTGGAGGCCCTGGACTGTTTTTAGCATTTTAAGCGTTTTCGGGCAAACGAACAATAAACACATTTTTGTTTTGCACTAATTATTCGTGTTCAGATCTATATAATCGATCTTCAACGTATGAAATGTCTCACTCCGATAACCCACGACTTTTAAAACTCATAGTAGTCTCCCCTTAAATAATAAAATCATTGTAAAATGTCCGGAAACTTAGGCGCAAGTGGGGCTCAAATGAAAGTGAGCTACGCCCCCTACTCGCTCCGCTCGCCAACCCCCATATGACCCACATATGAGCCTCTTATGATCTCCATAGGACCCCCATGTTAACCTGACCCTTGTTACCCTTATTTGGACCCTCGATTGGACCCTTAATCTGATCCTTGTGACCCCTATTTGGACCTTTATTCTACTCTTATGATACTTAATTTGACCCTTGTGACTCATATTCTGACCCTTATGACCCTTAATCTAACTCTCGCGACACTTGTGACCCTTATTTTCACCCTTGTGACCCTTATTTTGACTCTTGTGACTCTTAATTTTGGAGTTTTAATTTCGAGTACCAAACTTTCATCACGAGAAATCGATTTGGATTTTTATAGTATAAAGAGATATTTCTTCGGCTTCAAGACTTTAATGAACTCTTCCGTCGCATTGGATTAATGAAAAAATGTCTCACCTTGGTATTGGCATCAACCGACTGTTTAGTCATTGAACTATGCTCTGGACGATGATTCGAGGTCTCGAGATCTGGATTCCGCCACGTAAACCTCTTGCACAGGATATACACGATGACTGTAACAGGCAGTGCAATGATTTCCGGAAGGAGCCAGAAGAAAACCTCCCAAACGGTGGCCTCGTCCATCCGCACAAGACCGATGTGCCTGAAGAGCATCTCCAGGAATGAACAATTCTCGGTGAACTCATTGTAGATAGACGGCACTGCCACCAGGACGATGTGAAACCCTAGCTGAGCAAGGGCCGTGATGGAACTCAGGGCCATGCAGGATTTTAGATAACGACCTGTTGTTGATTTCATCGTCTCGTAGGTGGGAATTGATATCAAGGGTGATATCAACATTAGCACCAGGTAAACCAGCGATAAACCCACTGGTCGCCATACTGCGCCTGGATGTCACAGAAGTTTTCATTTAGTGAGAGGACCAATAATAATTCAACTATTCAATCGTAAATTAATCTACTTCTACCTCGTAGAAAGAACCTAGGAAAATCTACACGGATAAAAACAAAGGTTTTTGAGAAATACGTCTTTACTTATATCAAGAAACTTCTGACTTGAAAATCTTCAAGAGTAAAATATCTTGCAGTAAGAAAATAAAAACTTTCGTCAAGTAATTTTGTATTTGTCCTAAAAACGAGGACAATTTATTGATGACAAGAAAGCAATTTTTCAAACCAAGTAAAATTGAATTAATTCGTTTAATAGTTTTTTAGCCTCAATTTTAAAATATTTAAATGCAAAAACCACTTTAATTGATTTGAGTACTCGTTTGCTTGATATGAAGAAATTGTCCGCATCTTTCGGACAAGTCTAAAATTTCTTGGTGTAAGTTTTTTTTCTTAGCGTGAGATATTGTGCGCTTGGTAATTTTCAAGCCACGAATTTCTTGATACAAGTAAAGAAGTACTTCTCAAAAAATACTTGTTTTCTCAGTGTAGCGCTAGGTATCCGGAATGAATTCCATTGAATTTCTTATGTTTTTTAGTTTTTGGCGTCTGCGGTCATTAGCTGATTCGAAGTGAAGGAATCTATTGTGTCCAAATGATAAAAATTGATCCAGTCAAGGAGGAGGACCCCGCAAAGGAGGTTGCCATATTGGACTTAATCCAAATGACTGCATCAATTTTTATCATTTGGACATAATATATTCCTACACTTCGAATCAGCTAATGACCGCGGAAGCTAAAAACTACAAAACAATTTAAAAATTCGGTCGAAATCTTCTCCACAACATTTCATTTCTACTGGAACTCAATGTAATAGTACATTATTGTACAACATTGTGCACCGAAGGTGGAAAAGAAATCATTCTGGCCTCCTGACGCGCCGAGGTGCACATAATACTATTTTTCGTCACTTTTGGTGAGAAATTCGACAAAAAAAAAAGTAAAAAAATAGAGGTTTGTGAAAGAGGATAGTGGAACGTCAAACGTTTCATCGAAAATACATAAATATATCAACAACTTAATAACAGACAACGATTCTACATAGGGAACTCATAGAACTTACGCTTGTCTGTTATTAAGGTGTCGATATGCATATGAATCTAGTCTCTCATCCCCTTTAGATATACAAACTTTTGGATTTGACTGTTCGTCAAACGATCGAAAATTAAAGAATCTTTAAAAAATAGATATAAAAAATAGTATTAGTAAAAATACTGGATAGTAATTTTTTGTAATCCAATTTTTTATAAGATAACCAGAAATATGCCGAAAAAATCACATCCATCTCTAGTAAGGATGATCAAATCTTTCCAACCGACGAAAACAAAATTGTCGCATTAATGAACCCGTATCTCTTGAATTGCACGATTTATCTTTTTGCCGTGGCTGTTTCTTTACAATTTTCAAATTTTTGTCATGACCCTTGAGATATTATTTGATCATCGCCCGTTTACATTAGCAAATTTTGTTTTGTTTTATCGAACAGAAAAAATTCTCTAAAAAATCCGATTTTCAGTACACTGATAAAACGATTTAGTTGCTATTAACGAGACTTATTAACTATTAACATTATTCATTGATAGTTAATGAATGGTGTTAATAGTTAAAAAGCCTCATTAACAGCAACTAATCATTCCATCATTTCAATGAGTGAAAATGCCGTTTCTAAATGATAAAAAAATTTAACTGCGTCCACAATTTGGAGTTTTTGGTGGAATAATTTGGTAATTGGTAAAATATAACTGCCCCAAAGAATTTTTTGAATAAAGTGAATTATTTCGTTATTGATTAGATTCTTTCATCTGTAGAATTTATTCTTGATCTGTCTTTAAAACAATTCAGACACTCTTTTGTTGTAGCTTCTCTCGTCTCCATTTCATTCCAAAAATATGTATAAAACTATTTCTTCAGAAAATATTCTCATTTACTTTGTTCACTTGAGAGTTATAGCGTTATGGAAATTATAGAGGAGTGGATTCTCCCCTCAAAGGTCACGTCATGGAAATTCCAATGAACTCAACGGACCATGAATGAAGTCAGAATGGAATGGAATTATGAAAGGTCAACTTATTTGACAAATTTATATTCTAATGGGATTATAATTTGACAGTGAGTAGTTTTTCTCAATGAAGTAACCAAATCTATCGAGTAAACAAAATGATGAATTTTTTAATTAAGTTCCAAGTAAAAATGCTAGTTGGAGTTGGTGAAAGGCAATTATTAACAAGAAGATATATTCGGAGAGACATCTGCGGATCATTAACACCCCTCGCATGATTATTATACACTCGTTAATGATTTCCGAGCAGGCCAGATGTTCCTCGACTCAACAGTTGGGCAAGCGTTTAATCGACATTTCCGTAACGAAAGTACTATCTAAAAATACATTCCACTGTTAGAAATTTGTTCAAATTGCAGTCACAGCGGCATCTAAATTTCCGATGTTGTGAGGTTGAATTCAATTTCAAATGAAAGCGTTCACTAAATTTCTCATTCATCTTGAAAATTCAAGAAAATTGGCTTTTTCATGTCAAATAATCATTGATTTTTCAATGAAAACTTGAATTGTCAAATTCATTGTGAAAATTGAAGATCACGTACAATGCAATTTTCAATACATTAATAATTGAGAACAGTTGTTGCCTGAATTTTCAAAATTTTCAAGGTTTTTCCGTGTCGCATGGACCTGAAAATTGCGAATTGCTTGAATATTCAAGAAATTAACTGATTCGTCAATGAAGAAATATACAGAAATTTCATGTAACTTTGTCGATGTTGAAAATTTCAAGTTTTTCAACTTGAAATTTCAAGAGTAATTTTCTAACAGTGTCCCATGTCCAAAATTGTCGGATCGTAAGAAAAACGTCAATACGCTGTTGGAAAATTTTTGAAATTTCAGTAATAATCTCATCTGAATTCTCGATGCCGTGAGTTTGAATTTAATTTATTATGGAATCGTTCATGAAATCTCGTTTTTTTTGAAAATTCAAGAAAATTGGAGTTTTCATGTTCAGCGATCATTGATATTTCAAGGAACGCTCGAATTTCCACATTTAGTATGAAAATTTGATACAATTAAATTCGCAATAGATTGAGAATTCATAAAAATTGTTCCCTGGATTTTCCCAATTTTCAATATTTTGCCGTGATATATAGACCTGGAAATTCAGAATCCCTTGAAGATTCAAGAAATTTCATTCATAAATTAATATACATAAATTTCATGTAACTTTGTCGTTGTTAAAAATTTCAAGATTATTTACTTGAAATTTCAAGAATAATTTAAAAATATAAATGCAATTAAAATTCCGGAAAGAATTATTTTACCTCAAAGATTATCTTTCGTAGAAAAAACAACATCTTGATAGTCGAAAAATGATCCAAAAAATAAAGGGTGCAGTTGACCCAAATAAAACAAGTGGAGGGTCTTTGTGATAGGGGAAAAGAAAACTCCCGAATATCACGCGAGGCGTTTCTCATCTTTCCCCTTTTTACTTCTTAAGAGTTCTAATCGTGTTTGATAAGGAAATATAAAAACAAATTCTTTCCCTTCACTAGTAGAGAAACGTGTATTAAATCTATCCGAAAAATATATTAAATCTATCCGACAAAATTTCAAGCCAGCAACCAAAATTAAATATCGAGGGAATAAATAGCACGTCATTCCACATATGTTTAAATTTTTTCAAACCTTTTTGATCAGGTGAAATGTTCAATTTATTCATAACCCCATACACTGAGAAAAAAATATGATTTCGCCAATCAAATTTGTTTCAGACAAACAAATGCCCGAAATTAACATACAAAATTTCACTATAAATTCGTGCATATCATTAACAACCCAATCTTTAGTAGAAGTGGCTTGGAATGTTCCCATAATATCACCAGGGATGAAAATCTGTGAGGGCTGAGCAATTGAATCTCTAAAGACCTACAATTTCGCACATGTGCATAGAAATTTTGTAAAGAAACGATGCAATTTTGTATTTACAAAAACTTATGCAATTAGCTGTGTAAGAGTTGAATTTCAAAAAACTAATTCGTAATTGTTATTGCACACATTTTTCCAAAAATTTTGAAAAAATGTAAAAAGGCTCTTCCAGGAAACATAATTTTTCGGCCGAACCAATTCAGTAGCGCAGCGGTAAACCGGGTTAAGAAGATTTTGACTATTGGCCAGTTTTTGACGAATATCTCGTAATCTAAAAGAGATAGAAAATTTTTTGTCATAACCTTTTTTGTAGATCCAATTGAGGGTTATAAAAAAGGTTATGAACAAAATTTTGTTATGTCTCTTAGATTCCGAGATATTCATTAAAAACTGCCCAAAGTCAAAATCGACTTAACCTGGTTTACCGCTACGGTACTGAATTTTTTCTCTCAGTACAGATAAAAAAAAACGAAGTGCTGAAAAATCGAATAAGAATATGTCGAAAGAACTACAGCCTGTCACCGAGTTTTTATATTTAATTCGGAATTCTAAAATCCGGCCCGTCTCTGGCCTTCTAATTTTGGAACTGGTATGCCAGTTTCTCACAGCGTAAGCCTGCCCCATCGTAATTCAACGTTCCTACAATTCTCGAGCTTCCCAAAACTCCACGTGACTCTGGTTCAACATGTTATGTATACCATGTATTTGTTATCCATTCCTACGGCTCAGTTTACATTGTGGCTCGCAGCCAATAGTAATGAACGATGATAACCAAACAGATATATGTGTATGGAAACCGTGCAAATTGCAGCGGAACTTCGAAGACACTTTCGATAACAAACCCCCCTAATAATGTTACAAAGCAAAGTATCTACACATAACAATAGAGATATTTCTTAAATTTTTTTTTAAGTCCATCGTTTTTGATAAATTATGTCTACATTCCGAGTAAAAGTAGTCCACACGCAATACCACATTTCTAGTTATGATTTCTTTGCTACAAACTCGGGTCTCCAACTCGGGCTTTCAATTGAAGGCCCGAGTTGTAGACCCGAGTTTGTAGCAGCGATGTCAGACAAGATATGAATGTTTTTTTGGGCTCAAATGAAAGAGCGGG